GGGCATCCCCAGCCCTCCTGAGACCAAAGGGCCATTAGCAGTGCCTCAGTGCCCTGTGTGGTCTTGTCAGGTTTATGAGCACACCAAAATCACAGTTTTTAAATTTGCCTGGCTGCTTTAGAACCAGTCTGTAATGTAGAACCAATGTCTATAAACATTTCGGGGGTTTTGGAGCTCTTAAATCATGCCTAAAAAACAGGGCTTAGTCAGAAAGTTGCCTTCAAAATGCAGCACACATGAAGTGTGGATGCTTAGACATCAGTCATGCACTTGAGTCCTTTCTCAGTAAGAACCTGAGAAAATCCCAAAATACCTGCCCTCACAAAGTAAGAAAAAGCTGTCCAAGGCAGCAGGGTCTGTGGGGACCACCACAGCAAGCAGTGGCCTGACCCAAGTGCTTTGCCCCATGCAGGTGTCGAGAGAAGAATCTCTCCTCCTGTGCCCAAGACAATAACCTCATGATAGAGAGTGGTGGCACCTACAACAAATTCAAGAGAAATTCAGGTGAGCAGGGCAAGGAGAGCAGCTGCATCCTGCTCAGGGTGGTCTCTGTGGGAGTACCGAGATCCTGATGGGTGGGTTGGGGATGGGTGTCTATACGTAAAAGGAGGGTAATGAGGAAGGATGCAGTCTGGGTTATCTCAGCCCCAGACACCATAAAAGCTCAATCCAATTGGCCCTGCTTCAAGCAGAGGCTGGGGCAGACACCTCCAGATGTCCCCTCCAATAGTCATTACTCTGCAATGCTGTGAAAAGAGACTCTGGAGACACTAAGAGCTCTTGGTTCTGCCAGGCAGGGTGGGATTGGCTGAGGACCCTCCCACGTACCACATTTCTGCCCCTGTGGGGCTATCAGCTATCATCCAGACAAAATTACCCAACCTAGGCTGCCTGCATTTTCAAACAGGTTCTGTTTGCTGACAGTGGCTGTCAGAACAGATGCAGATGTTTGGTAGCTCACTGTGTGTCTCCTTTTCCAGAGCTCAGTAACATGCCTGCCGTCCTGGCCTGACATGGGCAGAGAGGGGACATGGACCTGCCATCTCGACAAGGCTGGGGAGACCAGCTGGTGGGGGCTCAGATCTACCTGGTGAGGAGGAGCCACTTGCCTTCATGGCCCTGCTGGAGATGAGCACCAACCTTCCTCTCCTACAGCTTTTCTCACATTCCCATGCCTGTCAGGGATCCTTGGGGTGCAGGAGAGTGCAGATGCAGTTTCAGCCATGAAGAAACTGTGTTATGGTGAGATGCAGCAACCACATGGGAGCCACCATTTACCTGAGACTACTGGCATCCCACAGGGCAATCATTCCTGCTGTGCGTAAGCCCTGTGCTGCAAGCACGTGCTGCAAGCATCTGAGCATCCTCCAGACCTCCTCATTCTCAGGTGGCCAGATTTCTCGTATCACACCAGCCTCTTCTCCACACACTACCTCCCATCCTCCCCCCTTGCAGGTGTCCTCCATCCCCAAGAGAACACTGTCCCCACCACGATGGTCAGGTGGTGCTGGCTGGGTCATTACTATCGGTACCTTTCTATAACACAGCCAGGGGCAACTTTGGTTTTCCTTTTCCCCACTCTTGCCCTGCCACAGAGCTTAACAGGACAATCTTCTCCCCTTGTCTGTGGGTGAGGGCATGTGGGGGCTGAAGGACTTATAGTGTCTTGGCCATGTAGCTACTGGGACTGTTACCAGTAAGAACCACTTTTCTTCAGAAGGATGGAGCTGTGTGTGAATTGGTCCTACCAAGTGTTTGCTTCTCCCTTGGGAAGGTTTGTACACCTGTACTATAGCCTGGGATTTATTCCAATTTTTATTTCTCCCAGTGGCTGCTGGCACACAGTGGGGAGGGGGCCTATGCTCTGTAAGGGAGATGTAAACATCTCTCAGGTTTAAGCCATATCTTTCTACTTGAAGAGAAAATATGTTTTTTTGTAAATTGCAAGTGATGTTTTAAATACATTTTATCTCTCCTATCCTGTTTTGTTCTTATTTCAGCAAACTGGGAAGGGGAAAGAATGCGATAGTCTTTAAGAGATCTAGACTATTGACATTTCTTGTATGTGAGCATTTTGTTAAATGAAGTGATCACAAGTGAAAGGGCAGCATTAAGTTTCAGTTATCTGTGCTGAGAAGCACCCAAACCTTTCCAAGTTGCAATTTTGGAGTATTTTGGAGGCTAGAAATGCTAAAAATGAAGATCCTCCTTTGGAAAAAGGCTAAAGAGCTGATTAATTGTTGTAGAGCAGCTCCAGATCTATGAACTATGGGGAGTGGATGGTGTTAAATCCCCCTCCCCGTGCCCTGCATACATAGGTGGTTCATAACTTTTTGTGGGTACCACTCACGTAGGAAATGTGAGCCGCAAAAGCAGGAGGTGGGGAGTGTGTGGGTTAAGTGTGGTGTGCGCCTCATGGGCTCCTCAGCCTGTGCCTTGGTGTTCAAGTGAGGGACTTGGCTGTGACTCCCCAACTGCTGCCTTTGATGTACATTGGGAAAAGACACCTCAGTGCTCTTTGATCTGTGTTATCTAGCTGCTGCTTGGCCAGTATGCACTGATAACTCCCTGTACTCACCCTCCTCATCCTCAGAAGCCTTGCCTAGACAGAGTCTGGCCAGTAAGACCTGTGGTTTCCTTTAATGTCTTACACTCTATCACATCTCAGCTACTATTTTTGTTGCTTCTCAGCTAGCAAGGTCTGGCAACCTTGTTAAGCACATGACTGGTTGTCTGACTCCCACACACAGACTTTTCACCCAACACTTCCTACATGCAGTGATTAAGCTCAGAACTGGCTGGAAGATTCAGCCCTTGTCATAGAGGACAAGCAGTGGAGACTCCCAGACTTAGGTGGTTTTTTTACCCCAAAATAAAATATTTCAATTAATTTCCAGTCTGGGTACACTGATGGTTTGTTCCCCCTTGCTGGATGCTCTCATCAGGAATTGCACAGTGCAAGGAGGAGTCTTGTCCACAACAAGAACCTGGGAGCCCTGATTCCACCCGTCCCCCTGGAGATGTCACCAAGACTGCACAGTGCAGAACAGCCTCCCACAAGCCACTTGATGCTTTTTAATTGGAGTATTTCACTTGGACATACGTATTTTTCATGTTACATCGCTTGGTGTGAATACAAAGAGGCCAGCAGATGCTAATACATAAGACACACAGGTACACACACACAGAGCCCCAGCCCTGCCCAAAATTATGGGGTGCATGGGATGCCAACAGAGCTGTTAAGTGGAGGGATGGGGGTGGTGGCAGGGGAAAGATGAGCCAGGACAGCTCTGGAAAACACTGCTATGGTGCATCGCCTGCTGAGTGTGCAATGGGTGGCAGGGATGGCTGGAGACTCAGAAAAAGCAGTGATGGTGTGGTGATGATAGGCATGTGTCTAAGGACAGGTGAGATCCCTGGGACAGCTGTATCATGGCAGCTGGAGAAGGGAGAGAAATGTTGGAGATGGATGGTGAGAAGGCAGCTGGGCTCCCAATGTAGCCCTGGTGTAACCACACTCCCATCACCAGAGTGCTTTGGGTAGGGATGATGGAGGAAGGGGATCTTCTAGCAGCCCTGTCTGGCTGGTGGATGTCTCCGTGCAGCATCTCATTCTATTTGATGGAGCAACCAAATCGTAAGTCACTGCTGCGTCCCACTTGAATGTCACAGTCCTCCAGGTCTGGTAGGCAGTGCTGCCAATTCTGCCTGGCACACCCTGGTGTTGGAGACCTGAGCTCAGCTGAGCTTAACAGAGCAGCATGTGACACCCCACAATATGGACTTCTACAAAAGCAGTCAAACCCAACCCAATGCACAGGACCATGACTGGCCTCAACATCTACTGAGATCCACTCAGTGTTGGCTACACCAACACTAGATCTTGGTGTACAATTTTCCCCTCTCTTGATACCCCACACCCAGCCATGTCTTCCTTTGAAGCCTGGATTTTGGAAAGGCACCCCCCAGGCTTCTCTCCCTGCATCCTTCCAGACACAATATGGTTTTAGGCTCCTCTCTGCCAGCAGGTCCCATCTCTGCTCCAAAGTAGGTTGGTCCGCACTGTGTGACATTGGGTGGCAGATGAGACACACAGCCAGCAGATGAGTACAGCCAATCAAAGATGGAGAAAAGACCACCAAAATCAAGGGTCTGCCCTTGCTGTGAGTGGTTCAAGTCCAGCTAGGACTCATGAAGAGCTGCTTTACACAGAAACACACACACAAATCACAATAAAATCATCAGCTGGTACAAACCCGATGGCCAAGTTAATGTTTGAATTACAGCCCAACATAGGCTCGGCTTCAGTTTTCCAAACATGGGGTGTTCAAAGCCCCTATATCCATACTGAAGTTTGCAGTAAAAGTCAAGGTTAATTGTTCTGGACACAGGGAGCAAAAGGAGATAATTAATTTTCCAAGCTTCACTTCCAGCTGAACCCTTAGGCTGAGAAAGATGTGCCTTGCTCAGCCTCTGGCAGTCATGGCTCTTGGGGAATCTCTGGGCAAGGGATTGTTCTGCAGGTCAGCATCCAGATACTGGCACGAAATACAGGATTTTTTTTTTCCTTTTTAATATTTTAAAAAATAAATAGAAGAAGAAACAAAACTTTGAAATTTGTTCTTTAAATATTTCCAGCATTGCACGGATAGGACTTTAGTACTCTAGCCTGTTCGATCAGTAGTTTGTTTATTCTGATTCCTAGTTAAAATGTGCTCCTCCCTGCCTGCTTTTTCTTTCTGTACATCTTAAGAACACAGTGTATTCATCTGTAATGACTAAAAATCAAGCCCTGCAGTGTTCACTGGACATCTTTCCAGCATGGGTCAGGGCTCTCTTATTCCTCTTCAAACCTGAAATTCCCAGAACTTCACCAAAAACCTGTTAGCATCCTAACAGCTCTCATATTTAAGAAAAAACAACAAATGAAAACAAAGCAAGCCACACACACACAGACACACACACACAAAAATCCTCTTCCAAGAGCCTTTGTGACCTCCTGCTGGAGTGTCTTTGCCTTGGTCACTCTCTGAGAGCAGTGGTGTCTCCTGGAAATCTTTGAGGTGTAGGATTGAGTTGGGATGAGGGTGAGGAAGGTGAGTAGGAGGTCAGAGATAGTCATCTTCACTGGAAGGGGAGGTGGGATTGGAGCCCTCAAGGTCAGAGTCCATTGAACTCCCTGATGGTGTTCGGCTCATCTTCCACATCTGGGAGGCAAAGTTTCTTGCCCAGCTGCACGGGTATCCCACAGCCCTCAGCTGGTGAATTAGCCCCATGACCATGTGCCAGTGGCTTCTTGCAGTTCACTTGCTACCCTTTGCACTCCTCTGTTTGCTCATGGCTGTTAGCATCTGGCTGATGTACGAGGTCAAAAGATCATCCATCTTGTACCCCTGAAGAGGAGAGGGAAGATGTTACCGGCTTCTAGAATACAGCTTACAGTCTCTGGCTTGAGCCTCCTAAACACACTGGCTACCAGGTCTTGCCTTGCATATTTTCAGGTACATTTTGACCTACATTTCACCATTCTCTGTGAGTGAAATGTCACCACCACAAGGAACACTGTCCAAACATAATTTGCAACATTGAGATGGAGGAGCTCGCTGCTGAGGCTCACTACATAGGGAGCTTTGGATAGGGCATAAATTTTCAAATGGCCAGCAAAATATTGAATGCCTCATATTAGTAACAATTAATCCAAAAGGAATTTTTATCCTTTGTACTTTAAGATAGTCTAGGAGGAGGTTTATTGCTGTGATTGCTACTAGGGACAAGCTGGGTAAATTGTACTGGTTAAAGGGCTCAGGAGTATCCCTTGAGCCCATATCAGCTTTAATATGTTTTTCAGTCTAGTTACAGGGAGCAGTCCCTCATGCTCCTGATATAGCAACATCCCAAGCACCTTAGGCTTGCTTGTTTGCTGGATGATGGAGCAAGTGAGAGCCCTGATTCATTGAGCAGAGCCATGGGAAAATCAGAAAAAAAAACCTGTATCAGTGGCTCTTCTGAGAGACCACTTTCAGCCCAGAGAATTCCCGAGACACAACTTGCTGCTGAAGTCAGGATTTGGTCTAATCTTTAACACTTCTTACCAGGGAGGTCTCACAGAGCAGCTTGCTTCCTCTCACCAAGTTGCCAATGGTTATGTGGAAATACGTGTTGCCACTGCTCCAGTTGGAGATCTTGGTGAAGGGGTGAGTGATGAGAATATCCTGGTGGGAACACAAAACTGACACTCAACATGCAAGAGAGCCTCAACTTCCATGACGGGCTGTGGACACTTCTCATTGTCCCTGTTCACTTTCCATCACAGCAGGCCAAGGATGTCTGCTGTGATGAGACTCATTAAAATGGCAGATCAAGACTCCAGATCCTCCAGAGCTTGTGAAGGACTGCTACACTAGAATGACCATGCAGGTGGTGGAAGTAACTAGTAAGATCTCATACATTCTAACTCCTGTCCTATTTCCTGTGAAACGATTAAGGAAAGAGTGCGTGCACCCTCCAGGTACAGAGCCCTAATAGTTGATGCTCCCAACTCATATTTTGTTGGAAAAGTCTGGGCTGGCTCTGTGCAACAGTGAATTTCTGCCTCCAGAATATTTTCTGTCTATCCAGCCTTTTTAACCTGGCTTAAAGAGAACTCACTAAGTACTAAAAATCACGCTCGTGGGATGTCTCCCGTGAGGGCCTGGGGAGGGGGCTCAGGAGAATCTGGTGAACACCCAAGTTTTGCTTACCTTGGTTTTTGGATCAATGAGGCTGACTCCATGCTTATTGATGGCAATTAGGAGGATTTCTGGATAATTTGGCTCTGTAGTTTGCTGTTAGAAAAGAGATTAACTGGTTAGGGGACGTGTCAAGCAAAATCAGACCCCTTCCTATTTCCTCTCTGCCTGTCTTCTCCTGACAGCACTGGCTTCTACTGTCCTTGATGGAATTGTAGTGCCATGGTGGATGGTCTGGATTTGGTTTGTGGTGGGTAGAGACATATCCCTTGGAAAATCACAGGTTTCCCTTTACATTGGCAAAACAGAGAAGAGCTGTTGTGTGTTCAGCAGTACAGCTGTGGGAATAGCCCCAATGACTGAGATATGCTGAAGCTCTACAATGCTTCTGTCTGTGTAAAGAGACACAGCAGCAATGAACTAGTGTATTTGCCCTTTACCAATTCAGAGTATTGCATTTTTCCTTGTTTCATCAGGATTGTCCCAGTCTGGTTCAGATCTGGAGCCCCTCTGTGGTACAGGGCTCCTGATCTTGGCTAAAAGCTGCCAGAGAACCCCCAGGGCAGGTACCTTCACTTCAAAGAATGCTGATCCAAATGTAGGCCACTTGAAGATTATCTTTAGAAAGGCAAGCTTGGCTTCTTCTCTTGTTTTGCCCGCGTGTTTGTTGTAGTATGCCACGATGGACTGCAACAGAGAACACAACAGAGATGGAGGGCTTGCAGTACCTGGCACCAGGGATATTTGCAGGCAAGGAGCATCAGCTCCTTAATGATAGAATCATAGAAGAGTTTAGGTTGCAAGGGACCTTTGAAAGGTCATCTAGTCCAACTATCCTGGTTGCCTTCCAGTAGACCAGCTTGCTTTGAGTCCTGCCCAACCTGACCTTGATGTTTGGTTATAGCCTCTGCTCCAATAACACTTCAAAAATGTGCTGGCTGGTCACCAGAGCAGGGCCTGGAACCAAGGCAGATCCTTCTTAGATAAGCTGAGCTGGTGACTCCATTAAAGAGATTATTAATTGTGATTACCCAATTTATGCAGGAGAGGAGACTGAGAGACCTTCAACCCAGAGATCCTGATATCAGATAGGAAACAGAAAGCACTTATTGGACTATTTCTTGACAGTGAGACACCTCTAATTTTTTAAGGCTAGACTTTGCATCTGTGCTACAGCTCTCCATCCATAAAGCAGGAAGGATTATCCCTTCACTTAGTAGTCTGCATTAAATGACAGAACACCTCTTCACAAGAACATCTCTTAGCATGTTTCCATCTGGCTTTGCATCCACCAGTACAGCCACAGTCTCAGGACAAAGAAAACCTGGGGCAAGGCATGTGTATGTGAACATGCATGTACAATCTCTCCTCTTAGTGGTGCCAGGGAAGCTGAATCTCTTGTAAGGCTCCAGAAGGACCAGGTGTCACTGATTTTGGCAGTCCAACTTCAACACTGAATGTCAGACAAGTCACCTGAGAGACTGGGCTTCTCCCAGCCAGGCCTGGTGTATGAATCAAGCTGCTAGATTACCCTTTTCCAGTCATCTGGAGAGAGCTGCCGGATGAGGTCCTGAGGCACCAACTCCTTCAGGAGTTTGGGGATGCTGGGGAAATAGGACTTGTCATCCTCAAACTTGACCCGGTAGATGAGAGCTGCCAGCTGCAGGACCTCTTCCCGTGAGCACTTGTGGTAGCCACGCAGGTACTTTGGTAACTCCTGCATGGAGGAAAGAACAACAGAAAGGTAGAGAGGATGTCTGTGGACCTTCACCCTCACATGTGAAATGGAGTTTGTGGAGGTATCCAGCCCCTGGCTAGCAGACTGTTCCCCGGGAACATGTGCAGATGGACAAGCCTTTGCAACCTACTCCTAATCCCTCCCAAGTCTCCACTGCTACTGCAGAGTCCTGGCGCACCTGGTAATAGTGGAAGATCGAGTCTGCCATCGAGTCTTTTCCAGGCGTTGTGTTGGTCCACAGTTTTTTCATGAAGAACACTTGGTAGGTGAGGGAAGGCACTATACCTGTGCAAATGAAGCAAATGTAACAGCAACGGTGTGAGTATCAGCTGGCAATCGGTGTCTGCATCCAGCAGTGCCCATGTGCCACCACAACCTGCAGGGACAGGGGCATTCACAAGGCCAACTGGGCTCTGACTTTGCAGAAAAAACTACATCACTGCCATGCAAAGCTTTAATAAGGTGGAAAAAGTGTCTGGGTTCACTTGCACAACTGTACTTCATTGGTTGTACCCATGCCTAACACAGGACACAGGAGTTGTACCCTGGAGGCACCTGTGTCTTGCAGCCACTGGTAAATTCAGCAGAGCTGCAGCCAGTTCCACTTTTGATGTGGTCAGTGAGGTGAGATGAATCCCATCACTGAAACCTTCCTGCAGGCACTTCCTGGAGAGATGCCCTCCAGCAGGTGCTTCTCACAGGGGCCAGGACTAGCCTTGGAACAGAGGTTTTGCTGCTACTGGATGGACCACCTCCTAGGTGATGTCCCCAGGGATGCTGCAGAGGGCACCATCCCCACCAGTGTGGCCCAACAGATCACAGAAACACAGAATCACTGAGGTTGGAAAAGACCTCTGAGACTGAGTTCAGCCATTAACCTAACACTGCCAGGAGCATCACTAAACAGTATCTCTAAGCACCACATCATTTTTTTGAACACTAGAGGACAGTGATTCCACCACTTCCATAAACAACCTGTTCCAGCTTGTGGCAGACTATGTGGTCAATCTTGTTTGAAAGTGCTGGAGGGTGGTAGGAAGGCTGTGCGTGACCCATACTGGCAAAAAAAAAGTAATCATTACCATCTTTTGCTGGTCTTGCTTTCTTTATCCAGTCTGTCAGGTGTCTCACAAAGTCAAAGAAGAAATCTCCCTCTGGCACACTGATGACCTGGGGGACACAGCACATAATCACGAAGGCTGAGCAAATAAGTCATACAGTAAGATCACAGAATATCCTGAGTTGGAAGAGACCCAGAAAGATCATCAAAGTCCATCTTCTGGCCCTGCATAGGATATCTGTAAGAATCACACCATGTACCTGAGAGCATTGCACACACACTCTCCTTGAGCTCTGTCAGGCTTGGTGCCATGACCACCTCCCTGGGGAGCCCGGTCCAGTGCCAAACCACTCTCTGTGTGAAGAACCTTTTCCTAATATTCAACCTAAAGGTCCCCTGACTCAGCTTCATGCCATTCCCTTGAGTCGCATCACTGACCACCCCAGAGAAGAGATCAGTGTCTTCCTGTTCTCTTCCCCTCATGAGGAAGTTGCACACTGCAATGAGGTCTCCTCTCAGTCTCCACTTCTCCAGGCTGAACAACGCAAGTGACCTCAGCTGCTCCTCACACCCCTTCCCCTCAAGGGCCTTCACCATTGTCGTAGCCCTCTCTACCAGCTTTATTTCTTACTTTATTTCTTACTTTTTCTCCCAGTTCCCAAACAAGCAGCAAGACTCCACAGGCAGGGCTGGCCATTGCCCAGCCCATGTCCTGTAGTTGTTGCTCACTGCTTTGCACTTCTTACACTGATGTGTTATAAACTGCTGATGTGAGAAAGCCAATGCCAGCACCTTGCTTCAGGCTCTGTCTCTAATTTCACCCATTACTCCTTATTGCAGCTTGTTTCACCACAGCCCTTCCTTTCCCTTCCTGATGACTATCTCCATAGAGTTCTCCCAGTTGCCAGAGGCAGCTCTAAGCTGCACATTTTTCTCACTTAGTCCTTTCTTATAAACCCAACTCAGCAACAGGCTAGGAGAGCTTTGCCTGTCTGTGCTTTAAGTCTTTTGGGGTGACTGCTGTTAAGTCAGGGCTGTGGGACTGCAAACCTCACCTGCATCAGGTCAGATCTGATTAGGAATGCCACACAGCTTGTGGAGAAATGCATCTCACCACACACCTCTGGCCCCACCTATGTGTACCTACTGGCAAGCGGGTTGTCCTGGGTACCTCAGGGCTACCTCAGCCTCTGGGTGGGTCACTCACCTTGTCAGAGATTTTGACAAAGAGGCTGAAGCCCTCAGAGGACTTCAGGAGCAGCCTGTTGGAGATGTTCTGGCAGAAGTCCTTGGCTTTCGTGCTGGATTCCACCTCAAATGCCTACAAAGAGAGGAAGATCACCACTGCTATCTAAGGGTAAATTTCTACTTTTTGCTCTCTTTGAGGAGCTCCAGGTGCACATGCACAGAGGGATATAAATGCCCACCACCAGTGAAATCAGCGATACTGTGGACTGGGGATCTGGGCATTGGAAGAGATGTATGCAGAAACTCTGTCATGCTACTGCTGTACCATTGTGCTTTGTGATGCTGTATCTATATCTTGTGCTAGCTTATCCAGAGCTCTCCAGGCAATGCAAGAGATTTTTCTGATCTAACAGTGAAGTGTCAGAACTCTTTGCTTGAGGGAAGAGGGATAGGAAAGACAGAGTGAGAGACCTCCAGCCTGATTTGTCCCAACTGTCTCTCCAGTGACGATGAGGAAGTCAGATGCCTGGCTTAGACTAGGTCCACGCCAGATGCCTGGTTTCTAGATAGTTGAATAGAGGGAAAATGATTCCTCATGTTTTATGGGTGTTTAGAAGTCTGTCCCATTCGTATGCACATCCCAATTCTGGTTTTGCCTTTTGAGCTGTGCTCAGCATTTACATTGCCTCAGTTTTGCTCTGCCCACTTATTGAGATTCAGCTCATAGCAGTTCAAGGAACTTAAGCTTCTGACTACCACATGCACAACTGAACCACCAAGCCACCAGGACCCACGTTCCACATCCCACGAGAGTCTGATTGGGGTTCAGTGCTGCTAATGCTCAGCACCACGTCAGTGCAGATGCACGCTGTACTGGAATGATGCTACTCTGCCAGTCCACCTGGTGACTTCCATGGCCAAACGGATCACAGCAAACCCGTCCAAGTGTAGAAATCCCCACAGCCTCCTTCTACTGGCTCTCACACAGATGCATGCATATGAAGTAATGTCATGCTCATTGCTGGTCATGTAGGAAAAAATACTCAAAGTGATGAGAAACCCCAAGAGTTCTCTCAGCTCTCCGTTACAGATAAACAAGGGCACTTCCAGCTGCTGCAGGGGAATCATCCTTTTCCTTCCATGGGTGTGGACTGTTTTACAAATAAATAAACTTGGAAATACACAAATTTATTTGTACCAAGGGGTATGAGGGAAGGGAGAGATGCAAGCCTCATAGGAAGACTATTCAGTAGGTGAGACAGAAGTATCTGCAAGGACATGCCCATCTGCTCTGGCATCAATATGACTAGCTGCCTTACCAGCATGTAAGGTGCTTAGTGAGAGCTTCCTGAGTGCAGGTATGATTTTTGTGTCATCTCAGGTCAGAAGGGGTAATTTCAGTCACCTACTTGCCAGTCCTGCAATAGTCTGCCCATTTCCCAGGGGGGCCCATCATGCCCTTTGGGTATTGTTGGGTGGACAATATATGTTGGTTTAGGCTCCAAATAACTGAGAGCCAAGGTCTGTGAGCTACTGTGAGTGAATGGATGAGCCCATCCAGTTTCCCTCTTTCTGCAGTCATTCTCTAAAGCCTCCAGTGAACACCAGCAAAGCACCCATGCCTTGAAAAACACAACTTGCAACAAACCTGAGTAGACAAGGATGGATTTTCCTTGCTAGGCTTTGGCCCAGAGGCTTCTGGAAAGGCTGAGTTTTTCTGAATCAGAACCAATACTAGCCTCTTCTGAGATTTTAATAAGAAAATTGACAACCATCCTGACAGAAAAGAATTTCCTTCTCCCCCACTTACCTCATCAGTGTCATCAGGGAAGTAAACCTTGTGGAAGATTTGGGTAGTTTTGTGCTGAATGGCTTCTACTTCTACCAGATGGGGTGGGTATTTTCTGGATCCATTCCTGCAAAACAGGAGGTAGTAAGTGTCACAGCATCATCATAGCAAGAATCCTTTTTTTAAATCTTCATTTTTTAATGCATATCCTTTTTGAGTAACTTCAGCTACTTTCTCAATATTATTTTTCCTCCAAAAAATAAAAAAAGTGACTGAAATGGACCTGGATGAAGTTGATTAATTTCTGTTTTTATGCACTACTTATCAGTAACCCAATGTCCCTTGCAATCAGTTTGGTGGAAGAGAGAGAGGCTGTGAGCTTTCACTGTGCCCCCAGTCACCAAAATATCTCCCAGTTGTATTTTTTCACACATATTTGGATGTTGTGGTACAGTCAGGACTAGAAGGTCTTCCAGTGCCATACCTCAAGGCCTTCTGGAGTCTCTGGATGCAGTCTGCTGCCAAGGGATGATGTTTCCGGGATTGCAGGAACCTCTGGACATGGGGCAGGAGGATGTTACTCGGAGGGAAAAGGCCTGTACACAACCATAACAGCTCCCATCCTTTCTCTTCACTGTATCTGCTCAAGAAGAGACCCAGGAGGAAAAAAATCACTTGTGGCACAGACACTTCACATCTGCTTTGCCCAACACAGTCTAGTGTATTTGGGCCAAGGGGAACAAGTAACTCTTACTTGATGTGGTTGTCTGTGAGCTGCTTGAGGGTCTGGCAGTAGATTTCATCCTTTAGGGGTTCAGCTTTCAAGGCACCTTCAAATATTTGGTCTGTCAGCTCATTGACTGAGCGGGTCCTTTTGGAGGGGTAGTCACCCATATATTTCAGCACAGGTGGGAGGCAGGAGTCAAGGATGAGCTAACTGGGATATTTGGTGAAGGCCCTCTGTTGATGGTGTTGTTAAAGACATCCTAACATGACTACAGAAGTGACTGCAAAGGGATATTCAGGCAGCAAACTCTGTTTCCAATGCCATGTGGACTCATTGGGGCTGTGGCCATCCACAGCAGGTGCAGAGAGTCAGCTGAACCAAGCTAGAACAGTACAGTGCTAGTGTGTGTGGACCAGTAGGACTCAAGAACTGGTCCCTGAATCCTCACTGATTAAGAAGTAGACACACCTCAGATTTCAAGGCTGTTTAAGGTACAAATTTGTGGTGCAGACCCATTTCCAAGCCTGTGACATGGTCCCACAGCCCTCAAGAGGGACCACAAACCTTTCTTTGGGCTTTGCTTGGCACCCTAAAGAGGCCCTGCTCAGTCCTTTGCTTATCAGACCTCTTGCCCAAGGGGACTCCCAAGCAGAGGAAGGATATCAATAAAGGCCATACAGGCTTCTTGGGACAGCTCCTCGCTGCCCAGGATCTTCTTCAGCAGTGGCTGTTTGATGGGCTCGCGGGTGTAACACCACAGCTTGTCCTTTCCACGGCTCTTGGTGATCATGACCCGGCTGAGGGTGTGCTTGGGAGGTGGTCTGGTAGCAAATGCAAAGCAAGAGGTGGAGAGATTACAGGGATGATAGCAACAGCTTGTGGCCAGTTTTCACCTAGGACAGTTTGCTCTCAGCACCTGGCTAATGAACTCTTACATCACAAAGGACATCACAATTTAGCAAGTATCCAGCTCCAGTTCTGCTCAAAGAGAACCAGTGTGCTCTCCTATGGCTCAGAAGAGTCTCTCATAGACCCTACCGCAGCAATGACACCACAATCACCTACCCTATCCCAAAAAGCTTCTAGTCACAGGAAGAATGATGGCAATGAATGGTCAGGGCAGCCACACTGAAAGAATATTACCTAGCAGTATAAGCCTGACAAGGGCAAGACATCTCAAAGGATCCAGTCTGCCTGTCTGGATTGCCAGCCCATCCAAACAGAAGTGGGAGCTTTGATCAGCTGCATTCAGCAGTGGTGCACATTTAAATTTTTAGAACTGAGATGAAAATGTCTATATAACCTAAGCACATCCTCCCACATAATATTAAATTTCAAATTGCTACACCTCTGATGAGAATAAATCCTTTATAAAACCTTTTCTGTGGAAAAGCTGCAGCTCAAATGCCATGACCTAAACCAGAGGTTGCCATTGTACAAAGTCACACAATTGGGTATTCAGAGTCTTTTCCAGTAGCAAAATTTACCTCTCTCCTAAGCTACCTGCAGATGGACTACTATAATTTTTGAGAATGGTTTAAAGAAATCACCTAAAATAGTCATAGGAAAATTCCTCCAAAGTGTATGGCTTTACTCTTTCTTCACTGTCTGAAACTGCCATCTGAGAGGTTCTGATAACATCTTGTCGTTGGTCAGGGGTCATTGTGACCAGGGCCTGTGGGATGAAAAGCTCTCTGTTACCTGGTGTATTTGAAATAAAATATACCTGATGTATTCAAAGAGAGGAAGCAGATACAAAACAAGAACTGTAAAAATGAGAATAATCCATCAATTCTCGTTAACAGTCAGTTAGAACTGTGCAGTTGTCATTTCTCTATGCTATTCTCAGTCACTGATGCAAGAAATAATAAGTATTTCCATAGCGTGGATCACTTCCTAAGGAAGATAATGTGCTCTGGAACCTACAGCTCCATATGTGAATGTAGCAGTTCCTTTTAACCACAGTACACCCTTAAGCAATCAGGCCAGCTGGAAGGATTTAGCACAAGACATGGATATTCCAAGTCACAAGTTTGTCGTGTCCTGAGTACCAAGGTCAGAAGAAAGGCTGAGATCACTTTTGTCTTGGACAACATGTCACCTCTCTCATCCACTTTGGTTTCTGCCTTACGTTCAGGGAGACTCTGGCCAGATCTAAGCCCTTCACAAAGGCTTTGATCTCCCTGGACATTGTACCAAGTTGTGTAATTCCAAAAGACTGCTTACCACGATCTCCAACGGAGGCATGGTGACGGTGGGCAAGACATAGACGGAATCAGTTGGGAAATCCCCTCTCTGCTTGGTCCGTTCATTGAACCCATTAGCCCACCCCGAGTTCATCACTTGTTCTCCTGTGTCCTGGTCCAGAACTATCAGGTCTCCTTTAAGGAAGCTGAGGAACCCAGATTCTTCTCCCACTGCAAAAAACCCCAACCATTGGTTAGAACTGTTGGTTTTTTTCCCAAGCTCCTAAAGGAATATTTAATCTATCTCTGTGTTTACCACTGAGCTGGGCTATTTACTTGCCTGGATTTGGGTTGTCTTGGAGAGTGACGACATACTTGGATCGTTTCCTTAGTCCTTCAAGGAAGGTCACCACCAGATCCCGGATATCCTCTGCATTGTTGGAGGTGAAAGTGTATTCATCACCTTTAATGGTGGCCAGGGTGAAACTCTGCCCTTGCAGCTTTCCTCCTCTAGGATATATTTTTATAGGAGACATAAACATGAAACATAATGACATCCAGAGGCAAAGCCTGAAAAAAGACTGATCTATGGTGAGATTGTCAGCCAAGTCTGTTCCTCCTTACCTGCTGCTTGACACAGCTGTGATCTCTGGGAAAGAGAGCTCTAAGAGAACCTGCTCCTGTTCATCCACAAAGTACACCCCCGTCCAGTTGACAGCTACAATCACATCATTTTTAGGCAGGCTTGGCCCTGGGGTTAAGACAAGATATTCAATCAGCTCATGAAGGGTCTTAGGATACAGAAAATGTTTCAAAGGAGGATGTAATTATCAAAAAGCTCTGTGTTTTTTTAAGGGAGAGAAATAGTGGCAGACCCATAGCCTGAGCCATTGCTAATCAGGATGCAACAAAAAATAATGTGTCCAAAAAAGATGAGCTAGATGGTCCTCTTCTTGTCTGTGGAATCCCTATCTTTTCTTCCTTTTGCTTTAGAGCATCTTGTGCTCTGCGGATGTGCTCTACTGACTCACCTGAGAATTTGAAGGCTTCATAAAACCGAGAAAACAGCAAAGGCCACTTGAAACGTGCAAAATCCACTACTTCTTCCTTAACCTTTTTTGGGTCTGCCCTCTTCTGAGTATAAATTCCCTACAGAAAAAGCAAACCACAACCAACATGAAGCAAAACACAGTTATATCCTGGAAGAGAGCAAGGAAAATCAAACCATGTAACCTGAAGATCTTGGAACAAATATTAATGGAAGTCTCAGTGGTGCTAAGGGCCAAACTACTACAGGAACAAGTGATAGTTTGGTCAAAGTCCTGGTCTTCAGTTCCCACTTTATGGAATAATCTGACTTGGAGAAGGCTGGGTAAGCATCTGGAGGGACCAATCTCAGTGAGGTTCATCTCACTAGACTGTGGGTTTCCCTAAAGTAAGTGTTTACTTTTCAGCTTGACATTCCTTTAGCTGGAAGCAGACACTCATCCCTTAAGCCCCTTATTTAGGGCATCCTTAGACACCTGCCACTTCTGTACAAAGCTGACAGGCTGACGGGGGATGTGCAAGATCCAAGTGAATCCCTGTGTCTCCACTGACAGTTAAGTTGAGGTGAGACTCCCTATGCACATGGAGATGTTTACGTAGTAGGGATCCTAATCTGAAGCTGGCTCCTGATGTTAAAGGAGTGCCCAACCTCACGCCAGGAACATCATCCCTCGTGAGTGGTCATGAGTACTGGGTAATGAGTTATAGGAAGTGTTGTTGTGTGAGAGTGTCACAAATGTTCTCACTGAAGCCAGGGAGGTTTTATACAACGCTTGGCACAAAAAAGTCCTGACGTTACCCACAGACATGAACCACCTCTGTAATACAACTGGTAACACCACAACCTTGTGTAACAGGAATGCCACCCCTGAGATGGTGTTTTGCATCTCACAGTAAATCTTTGCAGGATGTCTTTTGTCAGATCTTGCACAAAAACCAGTGGTAAAGCTGAATACGGTTAGTACAAACCCTGTCCTTTCTCACTGTTTTAGCTTCAGGCCAGGCTAAGAGCTGAGCTATGATGTCTGACACACGTTCAAAAGGCACATGAAGCTATTGAAGCATGATGTGGTCCTCGACAGATGATCTATTGTTCCCACCTTTTTATGTGCAGCTATAATGAGCTGAGCCCATTTTTCCACTGTTTTTGAAGCTGTGATCTCTCTGTCAGGAATGTAGGATGGAATTAGATTTAGCAGCCTTTCCAGTACCATCTCTGACCCATAGTCCACGTAGTACTGCTGGGAAGCCAGTTCTGCTAGATCTTCCTCCTGTGGGAGCCAAACAAACCAAGTTAATGCTGTCACCAAGTCATCACAACATCCATCCTCCACCACTCAAGAAGCCTGTTGTGGAGGCTGGGTGTACTACAGAATCATGTGGGCACGCTTCTTTTTGGCAGAACTTCAGCTTTTGCACATCTAAAGTTCATGACACTGACCACTAAAAGCTATGATTAAGCCTTAATGTTCATTGTTAAGAGTGCTCATGCAGCACATGGAAGCATCCAAGCCCAGTCAAGAAGATCTGATTGCTGTAGCTCCTGTTTTCCAAGTGAATTACCATAATGCCCAAGTTAATGGGTGTCCAGGGAGGAATATTTATCATCCCCTTTGTTGTAACCTATTTCACCATCTCAAAGACACTTGTTGGACCAGACTGGGAGCTGCTGAGGTCACATACCTTGTCACACCGGTACTCCCCAAACTTCACCCCTCGCACGATCTGTTGGTAGATGAGATTGGTGGCCACGTTGTCCTCACTGGGATTGTGCCAGGGGGTGAAGATCTCCTTCCTGAAGAAGAGCCGCCACGGTGCATTGCGCTCCTGCGCTCCCTGCTCCTTGGCATACTGCTCACACTGGGACACAGCATCCATCACGTGGTCATTGCCACTCCCCAGCGAGGACACCTAGGCAGGGCAGAGAGAAATGTGGCATTCACCTGACCAAATGCAGACCTTTTTAGGTAGAGAGATCTGCTTTTGAGTCACTCAGACTACCTTTATAATCAAAATAATCAATGGTTCTATGTCATCTAGCCAGCCAAGTCCTGCAGCACGGCTTGGTGAGCCATTCCATTTTGAGCTCCAGCTTCCCATCCAGACTAAAAGGAGAGCATCAACATGATTCAGCAAAGCCAATGGTCCCATTTTAAACTATTGTTGATTCATACTGTGCTTTGAAACACACTGTTTCAAAGTCATGGGCTTGGATCCAACCTAGTTAAGTAAGCATCAGAAAAACCCAGAATAAAAGAGCCTGTCCTGTTACAGAAATTTACGTCTCCTCACTTGGGGTCTGCCATGAAGCCCCAAAGCACTATATCTCCTCAGACTTATCATCCCTTGCTGAATGTCTCCTCAAAAAAGATGAAGAAGACAGAGTATAAAACCATTTTCTTCCCCACACAGAGGTAGAGGTGGCCACATCTGTAGGTGAAAATATGCGTCATCCTCTTATACAGAAGCTCTTGGAATACTTGAATTTCATTGACTTATAGCTGTTGTCTCACCTGATGAAGCTTTACCCCTCTCATTTATGCTCACCTGTATTTTAACAGAACTTCTGGAAATATGTATGTTTTTAGGTTAAATAAAGCAGGTTAAATGCCAATGCAGGCATGGCAGTTTGGATTTTAACTAATTTCAGAAGCTTAATTTCAACTGTTTCCTTTCCAATTAAATTTGTCTCCCTTGCATAAAAATCCAGGTAGGATGTTTTACTGGAAATTCATCTCTAATAAGCTCAACTGAAAGTAAGAGAATAGCATCTCATAAGTTTGTAGGAGGAAAGGAATTTCTGAAGGTTTCTGGTCCACCACACTAGTCAGAACAGGTGCATCTTTGAATGGGTTTCTCTGTGCGTTTTCCTGTTAAATTCTGAATATCTCCAAGGAGTGAGATTTTCCTACAACCCAGCTGCAGAGTTTGACAACTCTTTTTGTGAAAATCGTGCTGACACTAGCACTGTGGAAATAATCCCTCTGCCTTCAGGAAGTTATGTGACAGCAAGGAGAACCTCCCCCTTCTCTCCCAGAACTATTCAGGAACAGAACTTAAAACATACCTTGTCAAAAAGTGCAATGTAGAGCGAAAAGCCAAATCGGTCCTTCAGGCTGATTTTGTCGGCCAAAGAATTACAGAGCTCTTTAGCAGTTGTTGCAGAGTCTGTCAACAGTGTCTTTGTTGTCCCATCCATAAATGTGACAGGCAGCATGATCGGTTTCTTGGACTTGGTCGCCTAAAGGATTAAAGTCAAACTTTATAATGTTACATGTATTTCAATAGTATTTAACTGCATACTCTTCCACCCCACTCTGAAAACTACTTACTAATTCCTGATCCCACTGACTGGCTGCTTTTCAGTGCTACCACACCATATTTATCAACAGGATAATGTACAGTCAGCCACTGGAAGCACTTGGAAGTCACAGATATTTTATTTACTACATTCAGTCATCAAGGTGCCTAATCCAGAAGATAAAAGCATGCTTGGGAATGCTCACGGACACCAGAACACAGCTGTATATGCTTGCAAACCAGTTTAGAAAATGAGCAGTTTTTGCACAAACTGCCTGTTCCAGCTATAATTATCCCCAAAAAAGCCCCAGGGACCATTCATGGGAGGCAGTTTGCCTGCAGCCACCTTCATCTGGAAGATAGTTTTTTGAACACACAGGGGCTTGCTCTGTGCCAGCTGGCCTCAATACCAACAGCACACTTTTAATTTACAAATACTGATGCAGGCAAAAGGATTGATCTTCAACATACTCTGGAGCAAATCCAGGATGTACAGGGAATGCGATATGTCGGAATTTCATGAAAATTGTTGACAGAAATAGGCATTTTGTTGTCCCACATTCTGTCCTGACAGAGATGTGGCTCTTGTGACAGTGAAAGGCTTAAACCCTAAGCCCCAGCTCCCTGGGGAGGACATGGAGGGCTCATACCTGCAGCTCCAGCCAGCTGGGTGGCTGTGTCCTTGTCCCATTGGCAAATGTCCGCCTCAGCCTCTCTTCACAATAGGGAGCATAACCTGGGGGGCCTCCGTTGATGAAGTTCCTTAAATACTGTTGGCAGCAGGGAACACATTGTTTAGACCTTTGGCTTAAGAGGCCAAGCATTTGCAAAAAGTAATGTTTTACTGGAGAAAAGGCCTCTGTGACTAATGACAGTGATATCACTCAGGCTTGGATGTTCCTACATCAAATCACTGGAAGCTGAGAGACAGTAGGACAGTCTGCACCCCTGCCTTGTTCTTCTACTGTGCATTTCTGGCCTCAGAGGAGATAAGATACCAGACCAGACAGACCTTTGATCGAAGCCAGAGCAGAAGCTTTTCTGTTCCTGCTATTGCTGCCAGTGATTTCTATCTTTGTATTTTAAAGATGTGTTATAAAATGCTATTGAGTGTCAGCCAGAAAGATGGGAGCAAATGAAAAATATGTGTAAGTAATGATTCAGAGGGATTGTAAGTGAATGCCACTCAGAACATTTATCTATCTTTCACAGTGATATTAAACAGATATCTCCTTAGTCAGATTTAAAATACCATTTTGGCCTAAACAAGAATTTGAAGCACTTCAGTGTATGTCAAAAATATAACCACTTTATTGTGGAGAAAATTAAATCCAGTGATTTCCACAATATGAAAGATAACACACTTAAAAATATTACACAAACATCTTGGCCAAAATGTTAGCTAAGACTAATAAATCTGTGAATAAATTTTTTTCTGAGAGACTTTGTAGAAAGATAAGAGTTCTCTGCACGATAACACACAGCTATGCCTTCAGAAACACAGACTGCTTTATAACACTGCCAGCCATAAATAACATGGCCAGAGAGACAGATACCTCTGTCAATCCTAGTTTACAGAGACTATGAAGTAACTATGCAACACAGCCAGGTATCGGGGATGAGATCTGCTGCAGAAGATCGTAAATGGTCGATGCAATGTAAAAGTGTAGTTCTGATTATGCTATTGCTAATAATGAACTACGCAATTACGTATTTTTTCACATTCCTATTTCCTTGTGACTGAACCTTCCCACCTAGACCCACTGTTGGTTGAAAGAAAGGAGTAAAGAACAGCAGTGCTAATGTGCCTTGGCCCATGTTTAACACATGATGCGCTAAAGGTGTCTAATGGGATCCAAAGCATAACTTGAATATCTGGGAGCTGGAATACATATTGAAGACCTGCCTCATTATCAGCAAAATCCTTCTCAAAATGTTCAGTTCTAATTGATACTTTGATAGAATCATAGAAGGAAATGGATGCCATCCAGAGGGACTTGGACATGCCTAAGTGTTGGGCCTTCATGAACCACATGAAGCTCAACAAGGACAAGAGCAATTTCCTGCACCTGGGCTGGTGTAATCCCAAACACAAACATAGGCTGGGCAGAGAATGGATTGAGACTAATCCTGGGGAGAAGGACTTGAGGGTATTCATGGACAAGAAGTTCAACGTGACCCATCAGTGAGCACCCACAGCTCAGAAAGCCAAATGTGCCCTGGGCTGCATCACTAGCAGCGTGGACAGCAGGGAGAGGGAGGAGATTCTGCCCCCTGCTCTGCCCTAACCAGATCCCACCTGGAGTACTGCATCCAGCTCTGGGGCCCCCAGCACAAGAAAGATGTTGAGCTGCTGGAGCAAGTGCAGAAGAGGCTGCTAAGATGCTCAGAGGGCTGGCGCACCTCTGCTATAGAGACAGGTTGAGAGAATTGGGGCTGCTCAGCCTGGAGAAGAGAAGGCTCCAGGAAGACTTTAGAGCACCTTCCAGAACTTAGAGGGCTACAAGAGAGCTGGAGAGGGACTTTTGATAAAGGCATGGAATGACAGGACAAGGGGGAAGTTGCTTTAAACCAAAATAGGTCAGGTTTAGATTGGGCATAAGGAAGAAATTATTTCCTACGAGGGTAGGGTAAGGCACTGGAACAGGTTGCCCAGAAAATTTGTGTCTGCCTTATCCCTGGCCAGGCTGAATGGAACTCTGAGCAATCTGGTCTAGTGGAAGGAATGCCCTCCTGGCAGCAGGGTTGAACTAGATGACTTATAAAGATCCCTTCCAACCCAAACCATTCTATGCCTCTATGACTCTGTCTGAGTCTCCAGAACTGCTTATAAATTATTTCTGACAAGTGCTTCACTATCCTAAAGTAATCTTCTATTATTAAAGATTTAAACCAACACAGCTTCCTGCACCATACTTCTCAGATCTCATTTCCACATATAATTTAATTTTCTGTGACTTTGCCAGTGATTTATCTTCTTTATTAGATTTCACACTGACAAGGCCTGGGGATGAAGGAGACATTTCTATTCCTGGCTTCAGCTCTTTCAGCGCTGAACACCCAGTACCTAATCTTATAGCTACGGAAATAAATGGAACATCTTTATTTCCAGTCAGGCACTGGGACAAATTGTCCAGGGAAGTGGTGGAATTACCATCCCTAGAAGTATTAAAAAAAAAATGCAGATATGACACCTGTGGACATGCTTTAGTGGTAGACTTGGCAGTGGCTGAACTTGATCTTAGACATCTTTTCCAACCCAAACAATTCCACGACTCTATAACTCACCTGGAAAGCAGACTGTTCAAATCTAGGCAACAGAGCTTTGCTCAGAAAATAGAAAATGCTTAAGAACAGCCTGATTTTCAAAAGTGTCAGCCACTTGGCATCCCCCACTGACTTCAGTCCTGCTGATCCACAGTGCTGCTAAAGATGGGTTGCATGTCATCTCATGTGGCTCTTTGGAATTGGATGTTCTCAATATGACACATGATGGGGAACACAGCATCATTCAGAGAGCACCTTTGCAAATGTACTTCCACATAAATGAAATCCTTCCCTTTCTATGTGCATTTTTTAGTATACATTTATATTTGTAATTGGCTGTGTTCTGTTCCTTGCCAGTTTTGGTAGAGTAGGTGCCTGAGGTCAGACTGTCAAAGCCAGTAAATGCTGAATGCACAGACCTTTGCATATAAGAAACAGAGAAGAAACGTGGGCTATTCTGGTTGTGTAAATTCCACTTGCAGGCTCCCACAAACAAATTTCCTACCAGAAGTTACTTAACCACATCTTCATAGATCTACATGCAGGAGACATCATGTAATTTGGTTGTCTACATTACCTTTAGAGTCACAGGAAAGAGACAGTCACTTCTCAGGAGTGACTCATCTGATTGACATGAGACATTGAACTTGGGATCATGAACAATTAATTTCCTTAGGAACTCTGTCATCGTAATTTCTGGCAAAGACTGGGATTCCCTCTACTGTGAAACCCAAGAGAAAAGCTGGTCCCATGAGTGGAAAAGAAAATGTATTGGTAGATAATTCATTAGACAAATGTCATCTACAATTTACCTTCACAAACTTCTCAGAAGGAGCAAAACATCCCACACAAAGGGACATCAGTATCCAACCCCTGGCATGGCTGCTTTTGGATGGGTTCTGAGTCAGCTGCTTGCAGATTTGACAGTAGATTTCATCCCTAAAATAGGAATAAAAAAATAATTAAAAGTTAAACAATAAAAAAGAGAAATTATTTAACAATTAATTTCTATTAATAAACATAAACATATAAATTGGCTAAACCAGAGACTAGCAAGTGCCCTTCATTTGACACTTTCCAATTTTTGAATGCTTCATTTAGCCGCTGAAATGAGTTTGAGTTTTTCATTAGCACACCATTAAAAATATTCACACAAACAAAAGAGATACAATAGTCAAATGGAAAACAGAGTAGTGAGGAACAAGAGTGGGCATTTAAAAGAACAATCCAGTGTCATTAGGACTTTTAGAAATGTTTGAATCTGTTTGCATGGTCTTTCCACTGGGCCTGATTCGGGCAGTAAGGAACATGATCCAGCCTAGCCTGCATTATACAACATAACCATAAAAATAATGAAACAAGAGCTTTGTAAAGCTGCAGATAATATCAAACTTGTTTGAATAGCTCAAGAAAAGCTCAAGGAAGAAGAAATGGAAAGAATGGCATGTTCATGCCTTTGTTTTGATTTCTAACCTTAAGGCTGGCCTGAGGATGCCATTACCAATAATGAAATGGAGCTTCTCCAGGTTGGAAGTGGGTCTGTCTTCGAGCATGCTATTACCCTGCAGCGTAGACTCACCATCGTGAAGTCTCTTTGTCACCTGCCAACCAAACAAATTGGTCTCTTTCAGGACAGCCAGTTACTGTGTCCCCCCCACCCCCATCCCAAGTGTGTGGTGCTCCCCTGGGAGGGCTCCTCCACCAGCCAGGAGGGCTCTCAGAAGTTCTTCCATCTAGGATTTTAACAGCAGTGGGAGGGTTTGACTGTGTTGGCTTTAATCATGTATGGGTGAAATTAAAAATGGTCCTGTCTAGTTACACTTCCACCTGCTTGGTCCTTTCACAGGGTTTCTACAATGGCACCCCCTTGCATCCCAGCTCTGAGCTGGTCCTACTGCTGGGACAGGGCCACAAGGGTCTTTGGAACCATCTAATTGCCAAGGAGGACCTGTCCTTTAATCTAATCACATTAAAATAATCATCAATGTTTTCACTGGCAAAATGGACCCATTCCCCATGCTAATGGTGCAGCTGAAACTGCAGAAGCATGGTGCTGTTGGTGAGAACAAGGATGGCATTTGCGTGCCTAGCAGCTCATCGTCTCAGCTAGTCAATCCCATCTTCATTTAGAGAGATGGACATTTCTGTAGCATCTTCAGAGCCCATTAGGGTGAGCTGGATTGGGCCCTGTTTCTACCCACTGACCCCTTAGGGAATATCTCACAGAGCAATCTTCATGCTCTCAAGCAGCTACAGCCAGGTAAGATGGTGCCTGCTCTGGAAATGGGCAGTCTATCAATTGTTTCCATCACCCCCACCTGAAAGACTTATCATTCCTCACTCTTTTGAGATGGCATTTCTCAAAAGCTCTCAGCCTGGGATAACTGCTCCCACAGGGAGTTTTGTCCCTGGCACTGGAGTGGAGCAGAGTGCTGTTAGAGACCCCACCTCTGCTATCTACGGGCAGGAAACTAAAAGCAGGGATAACAATCAGACCACCACAGAGTGCTGAGAGGTATCGGCAGCTGGATGGAGGGCTGTGAAAGAGGGGAGGGAAGGTTCTGGATGGATGGAGAACAGGAGCCGAGGGGAGGCCGGCGCGAGGTGCAGAATGACTCAAGGAGACACGGGAAGCCAACCTTTCCCCTTAAACACTCCTTAAATCTTTCAGGCAGAGAGACAGGTAGCGCCAAACCCAGAGGAGGGCTGGTTCTATGTTGTCTAGGGAAAAGCAGAAGAGAGTCAGAGAGGGCTGCAGACAATCCAACGGCACTTGTGCTGCCAGGCGGCCAAGCTTCTCCCCTCACCTCCTCCGTCAGTTTGGATTTCTTCTTGAGTGTTAAGGAGACCAGTTTGTGCCGCACACTGTTCTTCTTGTGCCCATCAACATGAGTACTCTGCAAAGCAAGAGGAGTGGATGCAAAGTGGTGAGATGCTAGTGCTGAACAAGTGCTCTCTCTGGAGCCCTTCCCTGGGCTCCTGCAGAAGACCATTAATCCTGAGCAGAGAGTGAGATGTGTCAGAGGCTGGTGGGAACCAGAAGTCTGGACCCATATTCCTGAGCCCCTTGATAACCCAGGGTTGGCTCTGAATTTTGTAGATACTCTCTAATCAGTAAGTGTCTCTTAGAACAAAATTACATCTTGGGAATATATGAAAAAACTTATGTTGAATACATGGCTGATTTGTGCTGAGCCCAGGTATTAAGTTGTTTGTCTTAGAGCCAGTTCTTATAAGCCCTAGAAAAACACTTAATACACCCAAGGATAGCTCAGCTACACTTTGGGGGCATAAAATAAGCAGGATGGCTTCTGCTGTTGTGTTAGAAACAAAAAGGGTTTAATAAAGGCAAAATAACAAACAGAAAAACTCGAGCCAGGTACAGAGGTCTGCCCCTGGTAGAAACACTTCACACAAAAGCCCTTCTCCTTTGTTCTGTTCTTTTCTTCTACTTGATTGATCAGGCAGGACTTTTTGGCTTCTATCCAATTAGGTGTTCTCTGGTGTTTAGTGAAGTCCCTGAGGCCCTATGAGGTGGCTTTCCACCTAACAGTTGAGAGAAGCTTCTGGGCTTCTTTCCTTTTTTTAAGGGACAAAGGTTAGTTTTTGCCACTCTGACATTAGGGGGCGCATTCCTACACCCAGGTCCACCCAGTTCTGCTCTATGACAGTGGAAATGAGATGAGCAAGACGACTCTCTGAGACAAGCCATTTGCACAGCAGGTTTTTAGCTGGAAGTCACCTAGCCAGGGATTCATGGACAGGTAGTCCACCCACTGTGGTTTCATAACTTTCAACCAGGCCTGTGCTCTATCAGGTTTCCCAGAAGGACACCTCTGATGTGGGACAGCTCCAGGCACTGACTCTGTATCATCAAATTACTTGCTGACTTTCTACCTTTATAGCAAACATTTGGACCCAGTTAACCTCTACCCATTTAAACAGCTTTGAAAAGACCATGATTTCACATCCAATTGACACCTTGAGTCCTGTGGCTGTGACAGTTTATATCCATTATAAACATGAGCTGGTGCTGTAAACCTGGATTTGCATATCATTTTGCTCAGGCATCTTTTTGTACTGTGAAGAGATAATGTAACCACAGAGAAAAAGGACAGCTTAAATTTCCTTCTCTACTACTAGTTGGCCAAAATATACCTTTTTGTAATAAACAAGCAAGAAATTATGGGCCAAAGGAATGAAAGGTGATTCGTGGTGTATATTTTTACAGAATTATGGTCCTGAGGCTACTCTCGTCAGGTAATTCACTAGAAGTGCTGAATGGTATTGTCACTTTAAGAACAAGGAGATTTGCTATTTACCTCTGCAAATACTACAGAGATTTGTCAAGAAAACTTGAAAATTAAACAGTGGCATCCAGAAGATGCCAATAGCAGATTATATCTTGTCCTATTGAATAAAGCAATTGCCAAAGATGAAAATGTATCAGCACTGTAGACATTGATTTATTTAGAATAATGTTTTGTCTGGGAAGGATACTAAGATGAAGTCCTCCAGTGACATCCAGAAGGCACTCAGGATGTAACAGGGATTTTTTTTTTTTTTTTAAATATTTTCACAGCCTAATCTCCTGGTAACTAATTACTTCCTCCTCCAAGATTAAGGGCACATTTTTAATTTAGTTTCTTCTGACTCAGGGCAGATCAAAAGGAAATCCCCAAATAAGAAACATAGGACATTGCATTCCCCCATGTACTTTAGCCCTGCAGGGTGGAGGAGAGAGATCAAAGTCCCATGAGAGATATCAGGGCACTTCCTTCACTGGGGAACATTCAGCTGATGGACATTCAGCTCTGCCTGTGAGGAAGGGACAGGATCACAGGCAATTCTGCCTTCATAGCATAAGTGAAAATAAAGTCAACAAACTGATTGCCTGCAGCAAACCCCACAAGTTGTTTCTTTCCAACACAATTCAATATCCGACACCTAACAATAACATCTCTTTTACAGCCACACCAGTTACCTCTCCTTCTCCCTGCAGAGCCTGCAGTTCTTTCTTGTAGGTCTTCTTCCCAAGAGTCTCATAGATTTTTGTCATTACTGGTATCTTCTCACCACCATCACTCATGGCTGTGTGATATTTTGGCTCAGGGAGGTCTCCCATGAAACGCAGGATAGTGATCCATACAGCAAGTGCCGCCTATTTGAAAGGAAAATTACAGCCCGTTAGCTCACACCAGGGCAGTGGAGGGGGTGGTCCTGCCAGGCTGGATCCATCAGGATCCCCACTGTGGTCTCTCTGTACATGTGCAGGAGATAAAATACTTCCCTGTATTCCCTGTTCCATGTGTAACAGTGGCACACTGTTTTTTGCCTGCAACACACATCTTCTCTGAATGCTGGGCAGGCTGCTGGCTGGGACATTCAGGCTCTGTCTTTGTGCCACCATGAATGTGTTTATGAATCCTACAAGGGGTTTACCTCTTAACAGGAGATGCCAGCCTTACCAAGGGGCAGGGACTGGCAGCTACTAACCCACTGCAGAGGGGAAGAAGAACCACAGTGAGGGCAAGCTCATGGATAATGTAATATGCATTATAGCCATGGAGGTTCAATTCATTTCTGCTCGTGTACTGCTGGCTATGGGACAAGCAGTTCTTCTCTTCTAGCTCTGCACTGGTATGACAAGGTAAGAAGCCACTTTTCCAGCTCCCTAGAAGCTTTGGAAGTTGTACTGAAGCAACGATTTTCACTGTCCATGCCCTGAGCACACAGCACCTCATTGTCTTAACACCAAGGTACAGAGAGGGACCCTCCTCTCTAGTGCCCCATCCCACTGATATTCACTGTCTTACCAGCACTCAAAGCATACTGGTGGGACAGTGGCCATGGACACAGGTGCAGCAGATGAGTGTATCCCAAAATAGAAAGTCCTGGTGCCCTTTGGCTGGAGGATTACCCCGGCTTGCCCCAACCCACTGAGCCCTGCTCAAGTTTTTTCATCCCCTGCCTCACCAACTGGTCTCCTTCATCTTCATGGTACAAGAGAGGCTGCTTGAGGGGCCGGCGGATGTACGTGTGTGTTGTTGTGCCCTGGAAATACGTGGCAGCAAACTTGGCAAATTTGTACTCTGAGAGGTCTTCTTCCTCCTCCTCAGGGAGAGGCAATGCTGCATCCAGGTCCTCTTCCTCCAGCTCCTTCTGGACTTGCTCAAGATCCTGTTGTGGAAGGAAATGTCAGACACTCAGCATGGCTCTGGATATCAAACTACCATTTCCCTTTGGGCCTGACTTTTCTGCCAGTCTGATTTCCATCCCAAAAGGAAAAGTCAGCTGGAGGAAAACCATGGAATATAGCTCTAGAGCCCACGCAAAGCCCAAGCTTTGAAGGACATGTGCCCAGGAATGTCCCCAGAGCAGTAGGAGAAGCAACAAGCATGGCCCGACTCATAGCATGGGGAAAGGATGTCTAAGAGCTAAATGCCCTAAGTTGTGATGAACCTAAAAGGGAAGATCTCAAAGGCCACAAGTCCTTGATGACCTTAGTGCTCTCCTCCATTTGGTAGTCCCAGGGAAAGCTGCCAGGATGCCTGCCCATCTCTAGCCACAGCACAATAACCCTCTGGGGTCACACAGGAGAGCCTTACCCTGAAGGAAGCCTTCAGAGACCCACTTTTTTATTACTGTATTCTTTCTTGATCTATTAATGTTTTGCCAACACCTGTCACGTGATAGCCAAGCTCCAGTACATCTTCCAGTACCTCAAAGCCATTGGGTGCCTGTCCCTCCTGGCCAGGAAGGGAGGAGGTTGTTCCCAGGAATCCAAACATTTTGTCCACCATTTCTGAGTCATTCACTGGCTCATTGCGAGCTCTCTCCATTTTTTCTAAGAGCTCTTTCTTCCGACGTGCTTCCTCTTTCTCCTTTACTTCTCTCTCTGCATCTTCCCGTGCCAGCTGGGCCAGGCGTACCTGCAAAAGGAGAAGTGCAATGACTGAACTGCTCCTTCCAAAGAGCTGGCAGTAAATTCCACAGGGCATGGATTTAGGGAGGCAGGCTGCCTGGTGCTTAGGGCACTATACCCGTATCATAACTTGGAGCAAATCAGTGACATGCCCGTGTCTCAGTTTTCCAACTGCAGAAGGACAAAGCAATTCATTTTCCCCATTCCTTAGTGCCTGTTTAGGGGTGTTGGTCCGTGCACAGAAACTCTCACTGACCTAATTTTTTTCTTTTATACAACAGCCCTGCATGTCCACACATACACGGAGTGTCCCAGTTCCCCCTTCATACAATAGCAAAAGTGAATAATAACTATAATCTCTGGCATTCCTGTGCAGCAAATCAGAAATTCTGGAGCAGATTCAAACTAATAGAGCACAGAGTACTTTGGAGAATTAAATACAAACCACTCAAGCAGGGCATAAATCCCTTAGACATTTTTGTCATTGCCCACCAAAGGAGCAAAACTAGTTCCTGGAGAACAGACAGAACCCCACAAAGAGATCAGTCCCCATGTACTTGGTGTTTCTTTTCTGCTTCTTCTTTGGCTTTCTTGGCACTCATCTCCTTTCGAAGTCGTTCCTCTTCTGCCAGCCGAAGCTTCTCTGCTTCCAGGCGTCGATAATACTGTGGGAATAAACAGAAGAGCCTTTCTGAATAGGCATCTAATTATTTTCAGATATTTTTTTCCTTTAAAATTGGATCCCAAGAGCTCACGACACAGAAGCATGTATTTTTCCCTCTCCTCATCTCCTTTTTTCCTCCACGGTACTTACTTCCCCCCGGAGGCGCTTGTAGAGCCTTCGGGCGATCATGCCCCGGGCGTAGGCCTGGACGGTGAGGACAGCCCAGAGGCGGTGGCGGAATGCCCGACGGACCAGGTAGCCCCGGCACCGTGCCTGAAACTCGATGATCCGCCGGCGAGCCATGTGGTACTGCTTGTGAAGCTTGCGGGATCGGTACAGGGCCTGCAGCCTCAGGAAGCCAATCCGCATCTGCAGGAGGGAGCAGGATGAAACCGCACCGCCAGCCAGGGGCTCACCCACCGTAAGCAGATTTCCACTGCTAATCTCCTGCTTGCACGGCTCTAAATAAGAGCCACTGAAATCAGTCCCCATGACAGCAAACCTTCTGGAGGGAGGTTCTACAAGAGGGTGGAGAAATGAAGCGCTCTGGCTGCTGCATTGATTCAAAGCCCAGGAAGGACAAACACAGTTTCTTCCCCAACGAGCCTTTGAGAGGACTCACGATGTCTAGTTGGCCATCCCAAGGTAGCCAAAAGCCATGAGGGTTGCTCCTACAGAGGTCCAGCATCTGCAGAACTCCTGCCTGACAGTCAAGGTGCTGTCTGATGGCAGGAGGCAGCATTCTAGCCAGCCTGGAAGTAGTGATTTCTACAAATTGCAGGCTTGAAAGATTATATTGAGATACTTTAGACCTTAACACACTTTCCAAAAAACACTGCTGGTGGGTCAAAACTAGTTGGTACAGGGAGAGAAGAGGACTATGGACTGGGAGGGTGAGAAACCCAAATATGATCCCACATGGAGATGGAATCCATTTTTTAGAGGAAGCTGCTCTTGCGTTTTCAGTCATCTGGAAACTAGGGGAAGGCTTACAAAACCCCAAGTGACCCGTTGGTGCAATGGACACGTAAGTCACAGGGGAGAGAACAACTACAAGGTGGTCTCTTCAATGAAATGACGAAGCAAAAGAGCAAACTTCCGTTCATCACTCCAACTGATAAAAGCCAACCTCACCACTTCCGACATTCAATGGGACGTTTTGAACCAGGAAACCCTTATGTATGTCCCAGGCTAGAGAGGCAGGAAGGCAGAGGCATGAGGAAGCACCCCTGTACTTACAGCACCATAATTCTTCCTGCAGTTATGTCCACGCCAGTACCTCTGAATCATCAGGACTGAATTTCTCACTTTCAAGAAATTGGACCTGCAAAAGCATTTCAATCATTTGCCTCTGTGGTTTTGACACAAGTTATCATCATCTCCTGGGTCTCATTTCTTGGAGATTTGAATCTGATTGTCCAGGTGGAATAAACACTGATTTTTTTGCATGAAAATGTCTCCTTACCCAGCTTTCCTTGCTTTCATAAAAATATCTGTAGGCACTCTCTCTGAGAGGTCTCTGTAGGGAGATTATGCCACATTATGGGAATGGGAAGAACAGGAGATGGCAGGAATCCCAGCCTAGCATCATCTTCTCACACCTAAAATCTCTTCTCTATGTGTCCTTCCCATTTCATTCTAGCACCTGAAAATGGATTGAATCCCACCCAAATGATCGAGAGCAAACCTCACTAACACCACGCTGCTATCCCTATCTGCTCCTCCAGTCCTTCTCAGCCTGATCTGATCCTATCTGCAGACAACAATTTTGTTGGGAGGCCTTGGGGGTCTTGCTGCGATCAGTGTGTGAAAGATTGATGAGTTATTTAGTATGTGGCCTTTCTGCAAAGCACAACCTGAGTCACAGCCGTGGCGTGGACAATCATAGAGCATAAAACCCCAAGAACTGTCCCTCCTTCATAGGTGTAGCTTGTCCCTGGCTGTGGCTCCCCCTCTTCATCCACAATGGTGCCATGAGCTATCTGTCCTCTTCCCATGTCTTGAAACTGGGCTGCAAAGGGAAGAGTTCTGAACCCCTTGGGCCAAGCAACTTTAGTAGTAGGTGACCCAGCGTTCCCTCTGCAGTCTTGTGGGGATCTCCATAAATTGGAGTCTCAGTGTGGCCCACAGCTGGCTCAGAGCCCACAGCTGCACTGTCATAGCAAACATCACATCCCCTGAAGATGGCACTGAGCAGGGACAGAAGGTCCTATTCTGTCCAGGTTTGAGGCAGATAACACAGTTACCCTGTTGTTTTCTCTACTGTTTTTCCTCCAGTACTTGCTGCACCTGAGTGCCAACATATCGGGGTCATCTGGGCACCAAAGAAGTGATGCAGCCTCCAGGATCCACTTGCTGGATGAAGCATCCCACATAGCCCACCTCCCATTTGGCCATGGGATTCATACCTACCTGTCTTTATACCCACGGACCACCTTCTGGATGAGGATGACTTTGTCTGTGATGGCCTTGTCTCTCTCAATCTCCAGCAGCATGTCGTGGTGGTCCTGTGGGAGGAAGCAACACAACATCAATGTCTCAAGCCTGATATGTGGCCAGAGTGGGTGGTACAAGACCCTGCCCCAGGATAGTTGTCCAAAATAAACTCTGGGGTCATTTTACATCCCAAGTATCACACCACCTGCTCACTGGGGAAATCCTAACAGAAACCATAGTGATTTACAGTCTTCATTCCCAAATGAACCAGATCATCCAGAAGCTGCAAATGCAATACTTCACAGTTTGAAAACAACAGAATTACATTGCCCTTCCGTGCAGAGCTCCCTTCTAGTGCTCTCAGCCATGGGAGCAGCTCCTAGGAGCACAGGAGAGGTTTGCAAAAAAACTCCAGGCTACCTGGGTCCCATCACTTCCTCCAGCTAAGAGTGCAAATGCTTCCCTAACCTAAGGAAATAAAAAGCTCCTCAAAATATGGAATTTCCTTTGCCCTGAGGCTTTCACATGCACCAATCCAAGCTTTGTTCTGATTCCTCCCATGTTGTGTGTGATGCAGCTGAGCCATGCCGTACTGCGTGGAGCAGAGGCAGTTCCACATGTTTCCTGCTTTGCTCGACCTCCTGCGGCCCCTCAGGACCTCCCAATTTCTCTGTTTCCTGTCCTGACAGCTGTGAAATCTTGATAACAGGCTCTGCAAAGAGCAACTAGTGGGAACAAGTTCTGGGGAAGAGAGGGGGGTGTTTGTACTGGCAGTGGGATTTGGGGGTGAATTTAGGTGCAAGCAGTCAGGGTTTATCATTGTGATTTTTGCTCAAGAGAAGCCTCACCTTCCCAGAACAGCACAGGAATGGGTCTGTAAGGAAAGCTGAGTGTGTATGGGGCTGCAGGGGACCTGTAGTGTTGGATTACTCTGTGTCAGCTGGACTGATGCAGAAAAGGAGACTGTAGGCACATCATGGGTTGTACAAGGATGTGCAGAAAGCAAAATGTGCCTGTTGTGCTCATGTCCCCCTCTCTGCAGGGCTCTGCATGGGCATCTGTCCTGCTGCTGTGCCTTTTGGGTGAAGGCAGGACACGAAGCTGAACCACTCAGCCCAGGAGGGAAAAGGCTGTGCACTGGATGTGACCACTTTTGTGTTGATATGGATTTGTGAATGCATCAGTGCTGGCACCGTGTCAGGACTTCCTCCTGCCTGCTGCTCCTAAACTGGCCCCAAATGTTCTGCCTTAAGCCAGGCTCTACCCCCCTCTGCTCTAGGCCAGCCCAGAGACCATAGAAAAGGGTCATGTCTTCTGATGGAAAGGAAATGGTGGGAGACACCTCCAGAGGCAAGGATCCAAGATGGCAGAGGGAATGTGGAGAACCACCCACCTTTAGAAATATCTTTGTCTTGCCAATCTGCCAGTCATCATCCTTCCCCAGCACTGCTTCAGCGATGCGCTGGCACGTCCCACGCAGGTCACCCTGACAGAAAAGGAGTTGGGATTCACCAGGACCAGACTCACCCATCTCTCCTCCCAGGCCCAGTGTAAACCTCTTCTGGTCCTAAATCCTGCAGTTTTCTGCTAATGAGGCTCTTATGGCTTTACTGTCACTTTGTTTAAGATGAGTGAGAGGGACAGGCTGAATACGGCTACCTGTCCCTGCCAGCCCTGTAACCATTTTTCTTCACTTGGAAAGCCCAGAGCACTACTGTGACACCTGGGGATCAAATGTTGTGCAACTGATTTTGGAGAGGAGGCACACCCCTCAAATATCTCTGGAGATTGCCCAGCAGAGAGCACTCACTACCCATGAAGGAGGATTCTCACCTGCTTGTAGGCTGGCTTCACCCCAGGCATGAGCACCCGGTAGCGGTCCACAAACTCCACAAAGGTGTAGCGGATGGGGTATCCAGCCCGGCGGATGCGGATGGTCTCCATCATTCCGGAGTACCTCAGCTGACGGACGCACAGCTCCCGATCAAACAGCTGGGGAGGTTACAGGACACTGGTGTTTGATTGCAAATCTTTTAAGGGCTAGTTCATTGTACATATGGGCAACTATGCGCTCCTCCACGTGGGCCTGATGAGGCACAGACTGCTGGAGACAGTTTTGATTTTCTTTGCATGGTTTTGTTATCTAATTCATCCCACGCCTTACTCTTGGACTAACCCGAACAATACTCAGAAGCAGCAGTATGGGATGATATACAGACCCAGAGAACTCCAGCCAGCATCCCCATAAAAACAATTTTTTTCCCCGTAAAGCACATTTCAGAAGGAAGTAAAAGTTTTAGAATAACATGAAGTAACAAACAGTCAGGACTTTCCACTGATCTTTCACTTCCGCTATGCCATTTCCTATCACTATCAGTACGTTTTCCTTCAAAGGCAGGGACAGAAAATGATCTCTCAGACAATGTTCTGTTTTGCAGTCACCCTGCACAGCTCTGTGTGCCTTTATCTGGGATTCCTTTTCCTTTGGATTATTAAACCAAGGCCAAAATTAAATTTAGCAAGAAATCACATTTCATATCACACTGCAGTCTCTGATTCAGTGTTAGCTCAGGCATTTATTTCTTTCATGGGGAGATTAATTTCTCTTTGTTTAATACTTTCTAACTTGAAACTGTTTTCCTGTCCCACTGAAGGTTTTGTAGACAAATAGATTGAACAGAGACTTCTGGCTTAGCACTTGCAAGACCTGATGAAATACAGACTTCCTATGCAGAAGTCAAAATACCAGACTGAATTCCAGATATCCAGGTGTAAAAACAGCTCAGATTCAGGGCATACAGAATAATTTCTTAACATCAGTTCAGGATATACACCTACTTCTCAACATCACCTATGTCCAAAAAGAAGGTCTTGTCCTGATCTCTGCTCAGATGATAATCACACATCAGACATATTGTTAAATATTTACCCAAAATATTCCATTAACAGACTAACAGGTTTTTACTCTCACCAAAACCAGGATAAGAGCACAGTAAAATGATCTGAGAGACCCACCAAACCTTTCACTCTGCATCATATTAGGTTCTCTGAACAGCAAAAATAAGTTTCAAACAAACACTACTTGTACACAACAGTCCTGAAATTCAGGATTTTATGCTTTTTTGCACTCGACTGAGCTTTGCTAACAGACACTGACTTTAGATAAAGCTCCAGCCCTGGCTGGATTATTTATTAAATGAAGCTCTTCCTTTCCAAGCAGTACCACAATTAAGTTTGATGAGCAGGAAACAGTGATTGCTCACAGCATCAGTGTCTGATCCTGCAAGGTGTGGGGAGTGGGATCAGGGTGTGCAGCAGCCACCTTATCACCTGTCTTCTGCTGCAAAACTTGGAGTTCCTTCCATGAGCAGTTTGTGGTCAGGGGGATTGAGAGCCCCCCCTCCTTTTAATTTGCTCCCAAAAGTTTTCTCCCATAATGTTCATTACTTTTGAAACAAACCTCTGTGAATTGGAGCAAGGTAACTCCTCTCATGTTTCCTCTGTGCTATTTTGCCTCTTACTTTCCTCTGCTTTTAGAACCATGCAAAATAGGCAGTGAAAATGATCAAACAGGATTTAAAATAAAGGAGATCCATTGTGAGCAAAGATTTTCAGGAAAACACCCACGGGAAGATGATTTTCAGAAAGCACTGAACTCTGCCACAGAACTAAACCCATGGCTCAGCTGAAGTCTCTGGCAGGAAGGAGCCTACCCCCTATGGAAATGGAGAGGCATTTCCTATAGGATAAGGGGCTGCAGGGTGAATTCCTTGAGATCGCCCTTGGGAAGAAAGGCAGGGACCGGAGCTACCCCTGCAAAAGTTTTGGGGTGCTGTTGAACTACAAAGCAAGTGCCTGATTTTGCCAACCCTTTCTTGACTCTGTTGCTTGCACAGCAGGCTCTGGTTTGGTTTTCCAAGCATGCAGGGTCAGTCCTGACTCCACTGATGCCCAAAGGAGTTTTGCCAGTAGCTCCAGAGCAGAATGACCCCACGGCCAATCCCATATAAAAAGCAATCAGGAGAGAAAAGCAGGACTTACCATGGGCTTCTTGTACTCATTGGGCTTGATGCAGCGGACAAAAAAGGGCTGGCAGACACTGAGAGTCCTCATCAACAGCTCCAGGGAGCGCTTGAACTGGCTGCTGAGCGTCGGCGAGCGCTTCCTCGTCTCTGCTCCCTGCAAAACCGCAGCGCAGCACACTCAGGAAATGAAAGGATAACACTGACTTTCCCCTCTGGCTGCTGCCCCAGGAACCTCCTGCAAAAGCCAGGGCTGGAGCGGGGAGCGGGGCCAGAGGTGGCTGCAAGTTGTGGCAGAAGAGGGGAAAGGCAGAGCCTGTGAACTTGCCATGGCCGGGCTCCGGCAGCCTACTCCATATGGCTCTATGCAGGCAGGAAAAGTGCCATGATTTAATTTCTCCTGCTTGAACCTCCCTGTATGACTGGAAAACCCATCTTCCCTGTGCAGAGCCATGAGGAAGATCTGCCCATAAGAGCAAACAGCCTCTTCTGGGCCACCAAAATTCTCTGTATTACAGCTTGGGGCAGTGCACCTGCCCAGGGATGCTCTCAGGAGCAGTGTGGGCTTCCCTGTCCCCATGCACTGCGGCATGGGCATGCCAAACCCTCTGTCATGGTTCCTCGTGTCAGGCAGGGCTCCTCCTGCTCCCTGGAACAAGAACCAGAGACTCATTTAGGGTAAAAAATAATCCAGGAAAATGCTTGCTGAAGGGTGACTCTGATACAGTTCCAGAAAGTTCTGCTGAGACTCCTCAGCCTGTACTACTACAGATTCAAGTTACTTTTGGAAAAAAATATTAACTAGACTAAACGAGGTGAGTATTTAGGGGGAATCAGGATGATTTGCAGTATTTTTCTTGGTTCAGCTCCCCTGGTCATATTAATAATCCAATCTCTATTTTGGGGCAAGTGTTTCTAAATGAGACTGTGTATGTTTCCCTTAATAGTCCCTTCTCTCTGATCTGGAAAACCTTGTTAAACCACCTGCAAATCAAGTCTCTAGCTCATTTCACGTACCAGACACTATTACCTGAGCTCATTACACATCAGTCACAGAGGTGCTGTGTCTAGTGGGATCTGGTGCAGCAGGTAATGCTGGAGGGCTGGAGGAAGAGTTGGGCACCAGGAGGTAACTCCCTCTTAATTAAAAACAGGCTGAGCATGTAACATGACCTGTGACATGACCTGATGGTCAGAGAATTCCCAAAAGGAGAATTCCAGCAGGATTTTAACTAATTTTTGCTTCAAATATCCTCTTATTTGCAGGTGGTCAAGCCACGTGTGGAGTCACAAAATCCTCATCTGCACTGGCGTTGATGCCGTGTTTTGCAGTGTTTATTTGCACATTTCTGTTGATGTGTTTATTTCAACTTTTGCTAAAATTTTTACATGTGCTTCATCACATATCACTAATAACCTTTAACATTCCCACCCCTCAAAACTGAAGAATTCCATAGAACCACAGAATAATTTGGATCGGAAGAGATTACAAATTCCCTCTAGTCCAACCCCTTTGCCACAAAGAGGGAGTTTACACAGCTCAGGTTGGATGTGATGTTGAGACAAACCCAATCAAGACAAACACAAAGTCATCATGGAATTCCAACAAGAGAAAACCCAGCTCATGCAAACACCACAAAAACCTGGCCTGTTGCCAAGAAGGGCATGGGGGGCTACCAGCGATCTCTCCCAGCAAAATCCTCCCCAGAAGGACAAACTGCTAACAAATCTAGAGTAATTAATGGACACAGCTGCTACCTGCAGAGCACTGTAGAGTCTGATGCTCATATTTTGTTGCAGATTTTCTGAGGAAAAGGCTGTTTCAGCAAGAATCCTGGTTTGAAAGGCTTTGATGAATGTTTTCTTATCACATTGCTAATTATGCACACGAGGTCACCTCTGTGAGGTGGGGAAGGATAGCCACAGGGGCTGGAAGCAGCAACAGATGCAGGGGCAGGGCTGGCAGTCCAAAACAATTGCATGTTAGCCAAATTTTAGTCAGTTTGGGCTTGGCTGGGAGAGACCATTTTTAAGCCATGGTGTTAGGAAGGGAGCAAAACTTTGTACAAGGGTCTACAAGGGAATGCATGAGTGGTTTGCTCCCATACAGCAAGAAATGCCTCTCCATCTTGCTGGTGCCTTGCATTTCTTTCCTGCATGCATCCAGATCTGGCAAAAAGCAGTGGTGCCATCTCCATCCTTATATCTGAGGGCTTTTTGCTGGGAGGGGTTTGAAGGAAGGGACAGTGACCAGAGAGCAGCTTGTCTTCCTGTCCAAATAGTCAGAGCGGTCTGGGCTCCCCCTGTCAAGACCACATCATCCCATTCAGGAATGACACTTCAGGGCTGATGTTTGAGCACAGACCCCTCTTAATGGTGGGCACCACCCCTATGGGCATTTTTTGGGCTTTCAGATACACAATAAATAACCAGCTTCATCCTTCAGGGTTGGGTGACCCCTCTCAAGTAATTGTGGTTCCTTATGGCTCACCTCAACACCAGCTTGGAGAGAATCACACCTCTTCCCTTACTTCAACAAAATGACTTCAAAAACAAGGAGTGGAGCAGCCTCTCAACACAGCCTAGCAAGGCACTGAAAAAGCTTTTTTTTAAGCTAAAAAAAGACCCAGTCCCCATAGCCTGATGAAGAAAGGGCTGATACATTCTGCTTTTCCCCAGCCAGACACTTCCTAGCTTTCAAACTCCGAGACTGTAACATCTTTGGGACTCAGACTATCTCTTCTTGTGTTCATACAAAGCCCAGTAGAAGGGAGGATGAGACCTGTGTAAAATGGGGAAGGATGAGCAGGATTCACAGGTGCTATACCCCAGACTGAAGCACTCAGACTGTACTCAACATCAAGGAAGGAAAATACTCAAAAACAGAAGAGCAAAACAAGAAAAAGAAGATAATTAGATGATTTACAGAAAAGAAGCATCCAGAAGAGAGTTTAGAATGATGTGCAGACCAGCATGACATCCAGACATGCTTCAGTTCCACTTTTTGCCATCTTAAGCCAGACTGAACTTTGGAAGTGCAAACACACACATGGTTGTTTGCAGTAACACCAAGACAAAAGGCAAGGAGAATGGTAAATGAGCCAGAAATGGTAGAGGTTATTCCTTCTGTCTCTTTGCACCTTCTCCTCCTTGAAGGACAAGGCTGCTGGTGCACCAGAAACACCACTAGGAGACAACAGCCTGCTTCAGTGTAAATGCAGAAAGATGAAATACTTGAGGAAAGCTAGGGAAGGAGGGCAAAGCATGTGCCATCAGCAATACTTTGGGGAAAGGTTCTGGACAAAGGACCATCCTCCCATCTCTTTAGGATTAAAAGGCCACTAAATTGAGCCATGCCAATGTGACATGCAATTTCTGGGCAAAATTATGCTTTTTCTTTGTTATATTTTTATATGAAATGTCACTGGGGTGACCTTCAGATGACCACTGAAAGCTGAGGCCACCTCATTCTGCAGCATCATATAGTGAAGACAGTCTTTCTCCTAAAGGCTGTACAGTCTGGAAAATGCCTTCCAATGCAATGGTGACATGGGCTACATAACAGTGCCAAGTATCACTATTTTGAATTACAAGCTTATTGAGATGCATATATATATATATATGTATGTATACATATATATATGAAAAATAATTTTCATCTTGGCTGTTCCATTTTTACCTCAGTGTCTAACAAATATGAACAACTATTATTCATTAGAAAACCTACAAAATGCAAAGTTTAGTTGTAAGATCAACTATGACAACAACAAAGCTCCCATTTCCCTGCATCACCTGTTGACATCTTCAGAGGAAAAAAACTGGTCTAAACTTTTCTGGCAGATTTTGCACATTTGTCTCCTGGATTTTATCCCACTATAGAATCACAGAATTATTAATGGTTTGGGTTGGAAGGGATCTTAATAAACTCCATTTAGTTCCAATCCTGGTGCCATGGGCAGGGACACCTTCCATTAGACCAGGTTGCTCAAAGCCCCATCCAACCTGGCTTTGAACACTTCCAGGGATGGGGCATCCACAGTTTCTCTGGGCAACCTGTGCCATTGCCTCACCATCTTCACAGGAAAGAAATTCTTCCTAATACCGCAACTAAACATTTTCTTTTTCAGTTTAAATCCATTCCCCTTGTCCTATCACTCAAGGCCCTCTCCAGCTCTCGTATCCTAACTCAGGAAAGACTATTACTTTTGCTTCAACTCTAGAGCAAGGCCCAGTGATATGTTCCAATTGAAACAATTTTAACTGTGATACAGAGAGGAAGGAGTCCACCTCTGGGATTAATGGCTTTCAGTCATTTTGGGTCAGATCCTCCTCATTGGAATTCCAAATCCAAACATCTGAGACACTGCAGAAGTAAAAAGGGATGAAATTCAGCCCCATGCAAAGAGCTGAATTTTGAAAAGCAATCTAATCCTCCGGTTATCAAGGGGCTGTGGAAATGTGAGCAGAGTCACAAAGCTTATATCATAAAATTTTTAGCACACAATATGCTACCTTAAGGCCAAATAACTAGCAAGCAAGTTTTGGGAAGTTATCAGAACCAGTCAGCAGATGAGATGTAACAGAAAAGACTTAAAGGAGGTGCCAAAAGCCTGTTTTGATGATCATGACAAAATTTCATATTATCTTGTCTTTGAATGCTTGGATCTGAGGTCCCCCTTGAACAAGAACTAACCCTCCACCTCCAGAAATGATAGTGCTTCCTAACAACCCAGAAATGCAGTCCAAGGGTATCTCTTTGCATGTGAGCAGTCTTGCCTCAGAAAGTGCAAAACAGGGTCATATTTGCAGCGGTTTGGAGGAATAATGTCTCACTGAAGCCCATTGTGGCACCATGGTAAACAACAGCCAAATCCCAGCCAAATCTGAAGTTATTTAGAATTATTCAAGTATCAGAAAAAAATCCTCAAAACCTTGGCTGAGCCTGGTTCTGATTTTACCCAAACCAAATCCCCATCATTACAAAGTTCTTCTGAGTTGAGTCCTAGAATGAAGTGACACAGTCATACCCCTGGTACCTATTCAACAAGCTGTAAAAATGCTCTCCAACACATTGGTCACTTGAAATGGATCCTCTATAGATAGTAAAGGAAGAGGAATAAACCAACAGGAGTAAAGCACAATCCTTGCCAAGGAGAGGTGAGTATACAAAAGAGGAACTCATGTATTCGGTTTACCTTTGGTGTGGGTGTGGGCGACTGGCCAAATGTGCTGGATGCATAGCCACAGAGAAACTACACGAAGCACAGGTAAAAAAACAAAACAAAACACAAAACAGAGACAGAGAAGAGCAAATAGTGAAAAGAAGGAATAACTGAAATGGGAGCCTGACATTTTTAGTCTTGGAAGTCCAGCTGTTATACATTTCATGAACAAAATGCATTAATTCTCAGATTTTTGTATAACCCTCTCCTGGATTTTCTCCTTTGTCTTGATGTTCACTTCTCTGAATGTGAGGGATCTGCCAGTGTTCAGCTCCTGCTTCTTGGAAACAAATTTTATACATTTTTTTAACCTCACTCTTTATCCATCCAATTTCAGCCATTCCCACTCTTCTTCCTCACACATCTCTGCTCTCAAAATACAGTAGTTGGGAAGGTACCAGGATCAAACCACAAAAATTGTGAAGAAATCCCTTCCTTCCTTCCTTCCTTCCTTCCTTCCTTCCTTCCTTATTTTAATCCCAAAAATCAGGTATTTTTGATAGAATTTAAACTTTAAACCTCCCCCCCACCCCCGTTTCCCATTTATTTTTCCATCCTCCACTGCTCCTTCTACCTGTTCCTTGAACAATCAGTGCTGCCAGACCATACCAGCTGATTCCTCAGAGGAACAGTGTACAACTCCCACTCAATCCATAATTTCATCTGGCTCTGCTCAAAGCAATGTTCCTGTTCAGCGAACACATGCAGATAAACCCTCTCTGTGATGTCCATGAATAAATGAGACATTACACCCCCATGTGCTCCAGTTCTCCCCACAAGTTTCGTTGTGTACAGGTATTAGGTCTTTCAGGGACCAAACAGTTACTACAACATTCAAATATACAATCTCAACCAGTTTTCAAATTTCTCTGATCTGTGGCTTTCTCAAGTTTCTGGAATATAAGGGCCCCATTTGAAAGACTGAATGTAAAGCAGATGTGGACTTGTAACTGACTCACAAAATCCTACAAACTCATCAATAAGCTCCCGAGGACCACCATTTGGAAGGTGTTGAGCAAAATGCCTCATGATTTGATTTAGCCCTTAGCTGTTCTGCTTGTCTTGTCTCTCTTGTCTCCTTGTCTCTCTTTAAGAGAAGATGTTATATTTGATTGACCAAGCTTGTGTGTCTCTGGAAAGTTCCTCCACAGATTGCCTCACTGAAGCTTGGGGAAGGCATGCACAGCTCCAAGGCATTCCAAGGATGCTTCACCACAGAGCTTTGCTGCATGCAGTCAATGCCTGTGACCCAGGCTCACTTGCTCCTTCTTTTGGAGCATGTCCTAAAAAAGGGGCTGAAAACATTACTGAAGGTTGGTGGAAAGCAATGGAAAAAGCATCTCAGCCCCATGTTGGATCCTGCCCTGAGAATTTTTTTATGGTGGTGTTCAGGGAATTAGTGCTCTCCAGGTCCACACTGACACTGTTCATGACTAGGGGAGCTGGCACACAATGTTGGCTCTTCTTCCAGTTCCATGACAGAAGGCTAAAAATCTCTCATTCCAAAAAGAAACTCAGGCATCATTAAAGTATCAAAGCACAGACACCACCACTTGGGACAGATTCTGAAGATGTCTAGTGAAACTATAAAAAAACCTCAAACACTTTACGTTAAAAAGGGATCCAATGCTTTCAGAGATTTCAGTTCTCAGATCCTAGACAGCATCCAGGCAGACATCTCAACTTTGCTATTATATACTTCCAGCATATTTAAAGATGCTTTGGTAGGGATCCCTGTGAGAAAGCTTGTGTGACTGTGCAAACCTTTTCATTGATGCCCCAGAGTACATCTCTGCTCTGACCAAAGAAGAAAGAAATCACTTCCAAGGTCAACCGCAAAGCTTACACCAAAAATAAAAAGCAGCAAGGAATAAGCAATAAAAAGCAAAGTAAGCAGCAGCACTGATGCTAAGGGAGTTAGCGTCTACTTCAACAGGAGTACCCACTTCTGAGGATAGCTCTGAACCCAACAGGAGTGTCATGCCAATTGGTTGCTTAATTAGTAATTGATAAATGTTCTCTTATTCCAAATGAAGTCAAAAGGATAATGATCATTAATTTCAGCAGGAGCAAAACTGAATGGCTGAAGGTTATGAACAAGGCTTGCAAAACAGCACGTAGCATTTTCAAAGAAATGTCTTGGGAATGTAAATATTTCTTTCCCTTGGCAAGTAAAGGAATTCAGCACTTACAACTTGGCACTCCTGAAAGTCCCTAAGTCCCTTGGTCCATCAGTGGCATTGGCTGGCATTTGGAAATGGGACTCTGACTGCCAAAAAATCTGTTTGCTTTTAAAAATGTTATCCCCACACCCTCTGCAGTCCCATGACTTTTGCCTTGGGAAAGACTGGGAGATTTGGCCACAGTGACTGATTTGTATAGGCTTTCAGATCCCGCAAGACTGATATTTTAAAAATTTGGAAGGAGGGATGAGTACAGAGATTTAGATGTTTAACTTCCTGAAGAAAATACTATACATTTGTGTTATTAAATGTGGAATGATCACTAATCTCAGCATTTAAGCTGGTATCCCAGTAATAAATGCTCAAATGGGGTGGAAAGAGTTAAAGCAGTAACTCTGACTTTCTCTGAAACTTCACGGCCAAAGTCTTCTCTCACACTGAGCATGGAGTAAACACATAACCTCCTGGAGAACTGAGATGTGGAAAGAGGAGCTTTGAAGTTCAGCTTTCATAACTGGTGTTCCCTCTCTCTGCTGTTGTAACAGTAAAACACAGCTGTTCCCTCCAAGTCTTGTTGTGGTGCTTAAGGACCAGCAAGACTGTCCTTTTGTTCTACTCTGCTCCACAAGTATTTGGCTTTTACTTGGACCCATAGAAAGCTTTGGGTTTGAAGGGACCTTCAAGGTCACATAGTTCCAATCCTCCTGCCATAGGCAGGGACACCTTCCACTAGGCCAAATTGCTTGAACACTTGGAACACTTTGAGGGATGGGGCATCCACAGCTTCTCTGGACAACCTATACCAGTATCTCACCACCCCCACAGGTAAGAACTTCTTTCTAACACCTAATCGAAATCTGCCCTCTGTTAGTTTACTTCTCATCTATTATACACACATCTGGATGACCGAACGGAAGGCACAGTTACTTTTCTCTCAGATTTCTACAATCACAAACCTAATTGTTCCAATCCCTACACAAGTCTGAGGGGCCATCAGAGCAAAAAAATAATATTTGATGAACCAAATGCAGTGAACTGGGGGCATAAATGTGGATGCACCCATGACACTGCATTAACACTTCCTGATGGTTGACTCTCACTAACAGGTTTGGAACACCCCAAGGAGCATAGGAGCAATATGACTCTGCAAATCTTCCACCCCTTGAACACCCCTCCTCCTGAATGAAGATCTTCTCCCGCCTGCATTACCATTGCCACATCTGCTTGGAAGATCTGCTTGATGAATTTGTTTTTTGAGGAATGCACCAGCTGAATGATGTCTCCATGCAGCGTGTCCCTGTTTTTCTCCAAGAAACCTAGAGAAATAATGGGACAACACATAGATGACACAGCGCAACATGGTCAGCACATGAGCTGCAAGCAGCTTCTGGGTTGTTGGATTGCTGGATGTTCTTGGTGAGGTAATGGGAGTAATGAGCGGGCAGAGAGAGAGACCATGAGAAGGAAGACAGAGGTGCATCTTCAGACTGGATTGAGGATGCAGTGGTGCAAAGCACTGCCATTCTGTCACAGGCACACATGAATGAAACAGCACCAAACACTGCAGCTCATGGGCACAGCTGGAGGGTCAAGTCATTGCAGCCAGAAAAGAAAAACATTGACATGACCATGGACTACCACCCTGCCCTGCTCCAACACAGAAGTGGCTTGTCTGGCCATGAATATCCCTTCACCCCCTGCAGTGCTCTAGGAGCTGCCCCATACCTTTTGTTTCGTAGTAAACAATTCCAGCAAAATGGTTAATGCCAAACTGGGTTTCGTAGTTATTCTTCGGAGGAATATAGTTGGTGTTAAGCTTGTGCTGGGAGTTCAGCTTGTGCAACATGGTGGCATCTGTACCCTGAACATGCATGAAAAGATCTGACATTTAACCAAGTCTATTCCCATTGAAATAACTTTCCAGTAAATAGCATGTTTCTTTCTTGTCTTGGTGACAATGTGCATTTATGTTGAGAAGTGATATGCTGGAGAAGATATGTCAAGTGCAGAAATTACAGAAATTTATTAAATATCACTGTTATGTAGTGCTGTATTCAAAATAATGCTCCAAAAGGAGTATATTTAACATTATTTTCTCTTAAATTTTGCCAATAGATGTTTTTGAGCCTCTTGCAGGCATATTTTCCCATCAGAAACACTTGTTTTGGTGACACTGATGGAAGAAAATTTAAGAGAGCAATAAAAACTATAAATAGGCAGGCCACTGGTGAATGTGTGTTTGGGGCTGAGCAGATCCCTCACAGGATGCCAGCATACAAGTGCAAAGGGGATAAAATCAGGAGAGTCACTGGCAGCAAGGCTTAGCCCAAAACACACCTTGGGGAACTTGCTCTCCTCGTCAATGAGGGAGATGATGTTCATAGGCTTGATGGCAATCATGTCCAAGGCATCCTGATTGTCAGTGAACTCGATGTGCTGCCAGTTGATGTTCTCCAGGTTGTACTCTTCCTGCTCTAGTTTGAAGACGTGGCGCACAAAGAACTGTTGCAGGTTTTCATTTGCAAAGTTAATGCAAAGCTGCTCAAAACTGTGGAGGGAAGGTCAAGAAAAGGCCTTTTTATATACATCCTGGTTAATTTTTCTACATCTCTCTCCGCGCTTGAAGCAATACTCTCAGACCCTGTCAACCACTCAATAAGGCTGCTGTTTGCTTAGAATTTCTTTATTGGTTCAGACAATCAGTTTTTCTCCCAAAACAATGTTATGTGTGTGGTCTAAATCAGTTTAGAAACCGATTGATTAGCTCTGATAATTTCTCATATGGAAAAAGACTTGATCTAACCCAGTCCAGTTCACTTTAGGAGAGGTGAAAGGACTGCAAGACCTTGAGCTTGGGCTTGTGAAGGAGGATTAAGACCTGGTTCTCCTTTTGGTGACTCCATACCTGTTCACAGTGAAGTTCTCAAAGCCAAAGATGTCAAGAAGGCCAATGGATCTCCTGATACTTTTGAGTTCCTGGGAAGGAGGTCTGTAAATTGCAGCATTGATCTTCTCCACAATCCACACAAAAAGTCGCCCATAAATTCCCTGCAAGATCCCAAAGATGGAGCTCACTGAGACAGTTCAGCAGTTTGTCCCACTAGTCTGTGTCACCACTTCACCCTTGATGGCACAGGTTCTCCTAAATCATGGCCAAAACCAGACAGTTCCTGAGGACGTGCTCACCAACGTTTGTGCCAGGCTCTTGGCATGGTTTAAAGCTTCAAGAAGCATTATGTAGATCAAGGAAAACAGACCTGAAAGCCTAGCTAAAAGACAATTGAGAGCAAACCCCCAAATTTGGATAGTGCTAAATTTTGGATCTATGGGCTTGCTGTGAAGCCAGATAGTCCTTTCCTTGGTTTCCACACATTTCTCTTTACAGATCAGCAGAGCAGAGCCATGTTACACTGCAAGAACATCTTGCCCACTTGAACAAGGTGCTCACTGAAACATTGCAGCACTGGCTGAACAGTCTGATGATCTAATAACACAGATATTGCTGCTTCAGTAATTCCAGAACTTCATGTTTTAAACTGTTATTAATTATTATTTTATAAGCTACAGCGGTGTGACCAAGAGGGGAGCCCAATTCAAAGGCCCATCACCACTAGAGAAGACACTGCCAGGATTTGCAGGCTGGTTAGCTATCAAACCAACTTGATCGACCAATTCCCCACAGATAAAATGAGGACTCAGGCTGGCAAAAGCATGCCAATAATGCTTCTCTTGCAATTTTACATGGGGCTGCAAACAGCACAGCAGTGACGTACACCTATCCCATCAACCTTCTTCACTCCAAAGCCTCAAGATGTTCTAAGTGCTCTGATAGCTTCTGGACTGCTCTATCCCTGGCCCTGTGTTGTTCAGCTGTATTGACTGCTGCTTATGTTCCCAAATCCTGAAATTCAGGTGTGTGTGCTAGAGGTGTTGGTAGAGTTGTTCTGATTTACAGCAGCTGTATTTTTACTGAAGCTGAGCTAATTTCAGAATACTGGGTCCTTCTGCAGGTCCCCTTTTGAGTACAATCTCCAGTACAGATTGCAAATCCCTTGCAGAGCAGGTTACCTACACTCTCTTCATACATCCCAATTAGAACATGGTTTCAAGGGCATTTGCTGATCTGAGCTCACACAGGCACCAAGTGAGACTCTTTTCCTGTGCAGTGGATGCTCCAGTCTCAGAAGGGGCAGATTTCTTCAGCTTATCAAGAGAAGGCATAACCAAATGCCCTGAGACTTACCTTTACAAAAGCGTCCCTCACATCCAGCGCTTGTTCCATGCTGAGAGGGGTGGAGACAGTTTCACCCCTTGTGATTATAGTCCGGCTGGTAAGGCAGTTCATCACGTCCTGAGGCTCAACCTGACAGACACAACACCAAACACAGCTGCTGTACAGGGGAGGTACCTCAAATGAAGACACAGGGTTTTTCAGAGAGAAAAAATAACATTTTTATACCATATTTTAATCTGGAAGGTGTTCCTGTGACTTAGCATGAGACATTAACGAGTTGTGGGAAGACAGGATGAGAAAGCAGAGCAAAGCCTGCAAAGCTGTATGCTACCAGCATGGGTTAAAGATTTGCATCACCCTGATCCCTTTTTATACTTCTTCAGGGAAATGCCCACTCCCTAAGTGGACAGAGAACTGTGGGTTACACTCTGGGACAAGCAGTGCCTATGGAGATGAGATGATGCCCCTGTTAGCTCTTGAGAAGGCTACTGAAGAGTGCTCCAGTCACTGCATGGATGATTTCAGTGAGGGTTATCTCACCTCACTCTTCAGATACACAGAATATATATGACCTCTGTCTCAAGTACCTTTATGACCTTGCTTTATATCAGTGAGGGAAACACCCTACTTTAAGAACTGAGGTATTTTGGATGCCCTTTATAGTACAACGTGCTAGACCCACCAGAGGGTCTGTTCCTATCTGCTGGTGTGAAGGGGAGCTCAGCTAATCGGATCATGGAATCATAGAATATTTTGGGTTGGAAGGGACCTTTAAAGATCACCTAGATCCAACCCCCCAACAGAAACAGTTTTTGCTAGACCAGGTTGCTCAAAGTCCCATCACGCCCGCCTTGAACATGCCCACAAGTGGAGCAGCCACAAAATCCCTGGGCAACATGTTCTGTGCCTCACCACTCTCAGTGAAGAATCTCTTTGTATCAAATTTAAATCTGTCCTCTTTCAGTTTGAAGCCATTCTGACTTGTCCTATCATTCCCTTGTCAAAAGTCCCTCCTCCAGTTCTGTTGGAGCCCCTCTAGGTACTGAAAGGTGCTCTAAGCTGTCTCCAGAACCTTCTCTTCTCCAGGCTGAAACACTCCAGTTCTCCCAGCCTGTTTCCACAGAAGAGGTGCTCGAGCCCTCTGAGTATCTTTGTAGCCTCCTCTGGCTACTCAGCCCAGATGGAGACATTCACCTTCATGCTGCCAATGCAGGACACAATATGGCTTATCCAGGCCTCTTCAGCCTCCTGGAGCTGGTGGTGCAAGGAGAGGCTGCCTCAGACAAAGCTTTGCCACAATACTAAAAACCTGGGATGGAATCAGAAAGGAACAGCTGCACTGCAGGGCCACTGACCTCTAGCAATGTTGCTGCGGTGATGAGCGATGCTGACTGAACAACCTCGCAGGCATCCAGGTTGTCATAGGTCCGAGCTGGGGAAAGAAAGGCAGAGGGAAAGCCATCAGCAAGGGACGTGTCTCTGCAGAAAGTGGATGGGGTGAGGGAAAGGGTCTTTCTCCATTGCTTCTATGTGATGATGCAAAATCTAGCCATCAGAAGGGAGAGAAAAGTTCACACATCTGCTGGAGTCCTGCTGCTACTGCAAAGGACCTGCACTCTGCTCTGCCAGACCGGATAGTAAAGAATGTAGAAATGTTTCAGCATCTAAGTGCTTTAGGCTTTTGTCTTCTGAAGAGGCTTTTAAAATCACTATGTCTTTTCTGACAGCAGAGCTGTTTGGTACATTTACAATATTCAATCACATAGGCACCTGTCAAACACTCCATTAGTCTCTCTTTGTAAAACCTGAGTCTACTGAATGGCCTGTGTCCATATTCAACCTCACAACACTCAGAAACGTGGATGTCATTGAGCATACTGCAGCCTGGCAGTGTTGCTGTGAGCAGGTGGAATTATTCCTTATTCCTTGTCCTTAAAATGCCATACTAAACACCTGAGTCCCTGGCATGGCACCATGGCAGGTGTTCTGGATACAGACCTCCATCCCTCAGCTTGGCTCCCTGTCAGCAGGCAAGAATAAAGAGCAGCAGTGCACTGGACCATGTATTTTGTCCTTTTACCTTCATACTGCAGATTGCCCATGTGCAGGATGGCAGCCAGCAGCTTGGAGATCTCCCAGTTCTCAGTGTCAGTGAACATGAGGACCTTCATAGCGGAGCGGATATTGGCGTACTCCTTGCTGTCATCTCTGCCATCACAGGTTGTGCAGTTACCCTGAGGAGGCAAACGGGGCACACACTGCATGGGGCAAAGCCAGGGAGCACCGGAGTATAACCCTAAGCTATCAGGGCTTCCCCCCAGCAAGGTTTTGTTTAAGGGATGATGCTGAACTTGTAGATCTGGCTCTGCTCTTTGTCATATTCTATAACTCAGTGCTGAGCTTTGTGACCTACACTGACCCTGGTGTTCCCAGGTACCCTGCATCTGATTGTCATCAGCAGAAAAGAAAAAGCTCTCTGAGATGGGGATAGAGAGCTGGAGCCTCCCACTGATCCAGTTAGAAAGCAGGGTCCCAGCCTTACTGATGATGCACCAGCCTCAATTACACCTGCTTCTATCAGCTCCTCTGGATATCAACACTGGTATATAGGGAGTGGGATTGGAGATTGCTGGCTCGGTCACACATACCTCAGTCCCATATTCTGCTGAGAATGTCCCATCCAGACGAGCACTCCTCTACACCCATCACTGCCTCAAGAGCAGCAGGTCTTATCTAACACCCTGGCTACTTCCAAACACATGGCATGGGCACCACACGCCATCTCATCCAAGCTTGTGTTCTACTTCACAGAAAGTGTGAAAATAGCCTGGTCTAGACACAGGGATTAAGGATTTTCACTAAGACTATGAGGCTTGTGGTGGTGAGACAAAGAGATCTGTCAAACCCTGTGGCTAAGGCTCAGGAAGGTCATAACCAGCAAAGCAGCTCTTGGCTGCAGAAGCACCTGTCTTTTCCTTCTCCCTTGCTAAGGACCTTTCACCACATCACCACACCAAACCTCTGTTTCACTGCTCTCTAACCATCGCAAGGTAGTTGTAGTCTGTGGCTTTCCCAAGACCCAGCTTCTTCTTCTGCTCCACGGTCATTCCTCTCAGCATGCAGTAGAACACATGGTAATTCCTCTCATCCTGGGCCTGCCGGAGAAGAGCAAGTGCCAGCTCTGTGAGGAGAACAGCACGGCAAAGATCAGCTGCCAGCACCTTGCAGGTGTACCAGCTTACCTGCCTGCAGACCCGGGACTTCTCCAGCAGGTACTGCTCAATCTTTGCCCCCTCTATGGCTCCCCTTTTGTTGAAGTGGATGTCGATGTACTTCCCAAATCGGCTGGAATTGTCATTACGGATGGTCTTCGCGTTCCCGAAAGCTGCAAGAATTATGGTGCGTTAGAGAGGGTCTGATGCAGGGAGGATGATGGATCTGGTCTCATTGAGGGAGTCAAAAGAGTGAGGCTGACAGGGTTAAAAGCAGCCTCAAAGCCTTCCCTTAAGTTTGGCTGGATCAATTTCATCTCAATGTGAGGAAACAAGATGTATACCAGATGACTTTTCTTGAAAATACAGAGAGGAGCACAGAAGAGGAAGCTTGGGAATGGGGTGACCTTATCAAGGAAGAAAGGCTAGGATGGTAGGATTTTGGCAGCAGCTGATGAAATTAGAGGAGAGTTGAGCAAGAGTGTGAAAGATGACACTGTGCAGAAAATGACAGAGATGCTGGTGAGTAATTTGATGATTGAGAAGGAAAGAAAAGGGAAAATATGTCCAAAAGGGAAATACAGACAACTAAGCCAACCTCCAGTGGAAAACTTCTTCCTGCAAGAAGACTGTGCAGAGAAAGGTACCTGTGTCCATCCCCTGGGTGTGGATGAGTGCCCTAAGCCAGCACACCCTGCAATTTCTGCTCCAGGATTTCTGGAAGGTGATGGACATGCGCTTGAATTACAGAGCTTCTCTTTCCTGAATCTCAGCAGTGACCAAGTGCATATTCAATAGTGCCCTGTGTGCTTGTCACATTTCTGTTGGTTCCTAGAGGGTTATTTACCAAGCAGAGGAGGTAAAAATCACAGAATGGTTTGGGTTGGAAGGGACCATCAAGATCATCTAGTTCCAGTCCCTCTGCCAAGGGCAGGGGCACTTCTCACTAGACCAGGCTGATTAAACCTCTGTCCTTAGAGAACAACCCCAATGCTATTCTTTAAAGAAAATACCATTTTTCTGTGTAAGCGTAAAAGGTACATCTGGCATCATGTTGGGTCAAGAGGGTTAGATAACCTATTTAATTTACAGATATCCAATTAAAACAGTGGGATTGATCACAGTAACAGCCTGCCAATGAACCTATTAAGGCCACAAGCTGATTCTCATTATCTGGTTCTTTCTTGGACACCTCTATTTCTTTTTCTGCATTCTGCGGCCATTTACTGGTCTTGGAAGGAAAAGGTGGGGTTTGCTATTGTATACAGCCAGCACAAGGTGCTGTGAAGCTCAGGTCCTATTAAACTGATGTTTTATGGAACCATCTGAGAATAGGAATAGGATTTTTGCAACTATGGCCAAAAAATCAAACAACTAGTTAGCTGAATACAACACTGATGGGACACTGAAGCTCTGCATGCAGTCCAGCACTGGAGGAGGTGGTGAGATTTTTCAAAACAGCTTTGATTGAACATCAGATATGCAAAAAAGTATTGACCCACATTTTCACATACTACACACAGAATTAGGCAAAATTCAGGGTTTTGTATGGATTTTCTGGGGGGAAAAAAGTACTGTTTTAAGTGGAAAATCACTTTTTTTTCCAATTTTTAAAGTAACAAAACAGTTGAAAAAATAATACAGGTCAGCTGAAATGCTTTGCTTTCAAAAATAGTTGTCAAAAATATTAAAGGAAACACTGACAGCTCAAATCAGAGAAAATTAGTCTTGTGAAAAATAAATTTAGATGGAAAGAATCTGAATGTGTTGTCTAGCAAAACTGTACGTAAAAAAAAAAAAAAAGTCACTTTTTTGGAAACTTAAAGTGTGACATAAGTGATTTACATTCGGTTTTCTTTTATGGTTCCTGAATCTGTTTCTTTTTTTTTGTCCAGCAAAAGAATTCTTTATTATCTGAGGCCTCACCTTCCAAGATGGGATTTGCCTCCAGGACCTGCTGCTCTATCCAGGAGTGCTGACCACTGATTGCTGCCAGAAACTGCAGAATCAGTTTTGTGCTTTCTGTCTTCCCTGCTCCAGATTCTCCACTGCAAAGACAAAGGAGTGGAGGTCAGTGAGAGCCGTGCTGCATCCCTGCCAATGTTCCTCCCTCTGTCTCCAAAGGAACTACTGTCTCTTGTTTCTCTTCTCCTAGGATAGGCAGGATGAGACCACTAAGGATGGGTTTCCAGCATCCCAAGGACTGGTTGTGGGACAAATGGTAGGACATGGTACCAGAGAGCTTCCAGCCAAGATCCAGATTTGCCCCATGTTCCATTTGGCCCAAGCTGTTGCTTGGGTTTGGGTATCCCCAGCAAATGCCATCATTCCATCAGTGCTAAGAAGGTTGTGAAATACTTTCAGTGAGTGCTTTTCCAGCTATGATCACCAGACCATGACCCTGTGGTCCAGGATCTAGCTGTTCCCATGGGACATCATCACTGGTCTTGAGCTGTGATAAGGCAGACTGTGAAATAAATACAGCCTTTTACCAGGAGAGACTAGACAGGTCTCCTAGGCTTGTTCTAACAAGGAGCAGGTGAGAGAGGAGAAGCTTATGGGGCAGGAAGCCAGAGCTATTCCTCAAACTCTTCTCTTCATTGAAAGATAACCTCAGTTATCTTGAGAAAGGCTGGGCAGAAATATTTGGGTGAGTCTATGGCATGTCTGATACATGGGGTAAATACATGGGGTAACCAAAACAGACCTTCCTGACACTGAGTATCTAGCCTTGGCCTCATGGGCAAATTGTTTCATTTTTCAGGCCACTGGCACGCTGCATAGACTCTCCTATGGGCCCCACATGATGCTTTTTTAGACCAGCAAAATAAGCCTTACTGAATGGCCTTTTCAGACTCATGCATGTGAAATACTGCACACAGGATGTTCCAGAGTTATGGTTTTTCATGCAATTAAACAGGGTAGGCATGCCTTGGGGAAAAGGGTGCTTCAAACAAAAAGGACTGTGGGTTCAAGAATTCATAGGATTGTGTTAGAGAGCTGAGGACATCAAATCTGGCTCATACTACCATCTGGGACAGATACTGGAGGGAACTATACCCATAACTGTGACCAGGTAATCCTTGGGTTGATCAGTCCAGAGCAGAGCCATGGATGGAGACACCATTCAGGAGTGTGAATGACAACAGGTCCAGTGACCAAGCTTGTCCCTGACCTTTCCTTGTGCAGAAAGTATCCATGTTTGCTTTTTTGATGTCTGTAGGAGTAATGAGCTTACATTTAAAAGTGGAGGTTAAAGAAGAATATGAGATCTATTGGGTTGTAAGGCTAAATACCAAAGTACTGACAAAGCACCTCTACCAGGAACAGAGTGACTGTGAACAGAGACCTCCTCTGCACTGGGCATATGTGGATGGAAGATCTAATCAGTCCCTCAGTGTCTGACTATCTGATAAGCTATTCCAAATCAAGCATGTTGCATCTGCTCAGCATCTGCTTTCAGGATATGGCCCATTTGGAAACTCACCTTATGATACAACACTGGTCCTTGTTGTTGCGCTGCATGTTGAAGTAGCAGTTGTCAGCAATTGCGAAGATGTGTGGTGGCATCTCACCAATCTTTTTGTTGGTGTAGAGGCGTATCTGCTCGGGTGAGTAGATGGGTAGGAGCTGGTAGGGGTTTACTGCCACCAGTATTGAACCAGTGTATGTCTGGAGGAGAAGCACATGAAAGTTTATGGAGACAGTGAGGTGTAGCTGAGAGACTTTATCAGCTTGGATGGGATGTGGATGGAGGCCAGAAAAATCAAGGCTTTTTAAAAGCTGGATGAAAGATGATGCTCAAGTAAGAAATGCTTGCAGGGGGAGCCTGGAGTAAAATGGGAACAGAAGTGCCAGAATACCTAAATCAGTTCATATGCAGCCTTGCTCATGCACAGCATGGTTTCAAGCCTTAATTCATATTTTGTATGCTCTCAGTTAAGATTCAGAGACTTAAGAGAAGCTCATATTTGCAAAAATATCACCAGAACCAGCATATATCCAGACATATCTACTGCATTGCACATATGATAAGAAACCATAGGTGAAAGAAACCTGACAATTATTCCCATATCTCAATGCAAGACCAGTTGGATCTAAACCCTTCTGACAGATGGCTATCTAACCTGTTTTTAGGTTATCAATCCACAGCAGCTGCTAAACTTCCTTCTGCAATGCATTCTTCTCTACCATCTCTCTCTAACCAAATCTCTCCATACTTCAGTTTAAACCTTGTCCTGTGCAGATGGATATTGCCCACAAAGTCCTGACATATCCCTTCTCATCGATTTCTGAAATTTTTTAAATGGCCTTTGGTCTAGCTGTCCTGGGCCTTGGGTAGCAAACTCTGTAGTGTCTTCTTCTTTCCTTTCTGCCCTTCCAGATGCTGTTTCTGTCAAGACTCTCATCAAAGGACTCATGAACTTTGTTATCTTGCTCAGATGCAGTGTCAAGTTTATGAGGTTTGGCCACATCCCAAGCTCAAGGCAGAGAATAAGGATCTCCTTCCCCTGTTTCATCTGTCTAAAAGTCAGCGTCTAGAGCAGATGAGTCAATGGGCCTCCACCTTGGGCTAGCCAAGGGGCATGAGATGAAGGCTACTTTCACTCTGTGACTTCATTCGAGTCACTTTCTCTAGGTTAATTTTTAGCAACTGAAGTTATAAGATTAATCTTACCTTTCTTTCCTGCTGGAACCAGCTGTGAAAGTGCCCCACCTACTGCATACATCTTTTCAGGAAACAAAATAAGCAATTTCAACATTCATATAATCCTTATGGGTTTTCATCTGCATGGACTAAACCCAGTAAGGCTTTGGCACAAAGCAGCAAAGTGGCACAGCCAAGGATGCTTGTGAGAGAGAAGAAATAATTTGCCCCCATCTATCCAAAACCTGCCACCAGTTCAGGCCCCCTGAAGGCAGCCAGTAGGTGGCAATTGTGTCCCATAGTAGGGAGGGTGAAAGCCATTATGGGATCCTCACCTTCTACACTCATGGCCAGCACAAGAGAGCAACTTTCAGTTCAGTCCCACATGAGGTTTGACTTTACAGTGCTAACTGAGAAAGGACACAATACTCTTCTCTGTAACGGGGGATTATGTGCCAGTAAGGGAAAAAAGCTCTTTGAGCTCCAGAAAAATGTTGTCACAACTCCAAAGGGTAGAAATTGGCTGTGAAATCATGGAGACTAGATTTTAGAAGAAGAAGGTATTGGAAAAAGGGAGCAGAGGCATCCAAGAGAAGCCTTCAAAGGGGACAGAACAGGTAACATCAGTGCTCAGAGGAGGAGGGAGCTCAGTTTCTGAATGGGATTATGACACCAAGATCCCTAATGAAGAAGACTCCTTTGAGTCTTCATTACTTCATTCATTTCCTCTTTACAATTTATCACTGGGTTAATTTTAGGGACATTTTTCATATTCCTTGAGGGTGGTTGTTTTTTTTTTTTTTTTTTTTTTTTTTTAATCTAACTCCTTGCAGAGGTCTCTGAAATCCCTGCATTTCAGTCACACTGGTCTGCCCTGCCACAAATGTAAACAGAGAGGCTTTTAAAGGTGTTAACCATTAGGTATTCTTTCTGGATGCTACCACTGACCCTTCCCTTGTGATCCACAAAACACTTTGTCAGCATGAACTCTTGTACTATTGCTTGTTTTCACAGGTCATTCCTAGTTGATAAATAATCACAATTTGCCCAATTCTCACAGCTGACAGAAGGCAAAACTTTGTTCACTCTGTTGATCAGGGGCCAAAGGGCACTTCCAAGGAAATAGTAGCTTACTGGTTTCTATTGCTGGGTGATGTCAAAGCCCTTTTCTATTGGAAAAATAAAGCTTTACTGAGAGCAGGGACTCTGCCTTAGCTGACCACAGGAACCTCTTCTCACAGCAAATTCATTACTGCCTGCATGACCTACATTTTAATTAGCCCCAAACAAATCCTTTCTGAGCCTGCTTCCCTTGCTACCCAGAACACCATGGCTGACTTCATCTGGATTGTTATGGGGTTAAAGCTCTACCAAACATTACTGTGTTTTGGCAGCCCTTAGAGAGCAGCAGCAGGCACTGGTTTTATCTCCAGATAGAGATTTAACCTTACTCACAAGTCCAAACTCCCCACCAGACTCTCTTGCTATTCAGCATAGTTTCTCTTGCTGTGTGCAAGCAAAACTAAGGGCAAGAAGCCCTTGTTGAAGATTTTCATATTTTGCTGCAGACATTTCTTCCCTTCAAGTTAAGATCATTACTGAGAAGCACTTAAAGCTTTAACCACATTCACAGGTTGGGGACTTTCCAGCTCTGGAAACATGTCACAACTTTACCATGTGGGTCAAGCTCTGCACCAAAGCGGATGGATGCTCTCCGTGCATTTATGAAGTGGCAGCAATGGTGGCGCAAAGTAAATGAGAAGGCCACAATGTTGAACAGAAAAAGGTGACCCAGTGGAAGGCATGACAGCAATTGCAAATGGCGTTGCCAGTAGTCATACTTACCCTCCCGCCGCAGTTTGTCTTATGAGTAAAATGTGAGGGAGAAGAAAAAGGGAAATTATATTTTATTAGAGCAGAACTACATGCTCCACAAAGCTAAGGACACAAGGAAACAAAAGGAACTGAAGTCCCACTGGAAAAGTAATCATTTACTCAGCAGGCTCAGAAATCCTTTCAAGCAGTGAAACTTCACTGTCTTTGAGACAGTGCTAATTATACCACAGAAGAAAAACCAGCTCAGCAGACTGGATGTCCCATGCATCCATGGCATCCATATGGTGGTACCTTGGCTTTGCAAAACTGACATCAATATTTACCACATCCGACACAAACCTACTCCGCCTGGTGCCATCACTCCTCATAGCTGAGATCTAAGGTTGGGCTCCTGAGCCTCCAACTACACACTGGAGACAGAAGTGGTGTGCATGCCTCTCTATCAAGCTATTCACTCTCTGTCATTTTGAGAGTGTCATTCTGATTTTGAGATTGCTCTAATTGCTGTGCTGTGCCCAGTTCCTGGCATTAGTGGTGTGGAGCAATCAAGACACAGTAACCTGGAACCTCTGTGATGCAAATGTCCTTGTGGGATGTGGCCATCCCTTAGGCAGGATCTCTGTAGGGCACACTGCACTGTCACCATCGGACCAGAAGAACTTGTAGAGAAACTGATGTGGTTATCGTGTCACTTCAGCCCAAATCAGCACCCACACTCACCTCCAGGCTAAAAGCTGCCCTTTGCATCAGCCCTTATTAGGATGATGTTGCCAAACAACACTTTGCACAGTGCTTGTTTGTGCTCCTAATCTTCCTGGATGCCTGTGACTAGCTTGGCAAGGGAGCTCAGAGACAGAGCTTTTTCAAAGGGGTTTTGTGTATTCACAGGCAATCTGATGATACTGTACACACAGAATTGTATCTGAGGACCTCAGGTCACTTGGAGAGGCAACAGGCACTTGCTGGATAACACAGACACCCCAAAAGAGATACACAGACAACACTGAAAAAATACCCAACGTGATCCAAACTTTCTCAGAGAGAGTGGCAGGAATCCATTTTGTGCCACTGCAGGGTGCCCACAAGCAGGGGGAAAAGGGGGCAATGGGTAAATTTAAGTTCCTTGAAGTTCCTGGCCATCTGTACTTCTCAGGTGGCATTCAGGTAGCTTGAATTCAGTTATCCACACAAGTGCTGCACCCAGCCTTGAAGATGGATGTGCTCTGAGCTTGGGGAGGTTGGACGGTAGACCTCCAGCCTAAAATTTTCTTCCAACATAAACTCCTCTATGATATCCAAATTCCAGTCAGCTCTAAAGCATCTGAGAGGTACTTCTGCTTGCATAGCTGAAAGACAATCTTGTCTCTGCTGGCTCTATTGACACCTCTGGTGACTGCCATGGATGCACATGGAGATACCACCTCAAGTATGAATTTGGGCTATTAACTTACTAGTTTACCATTATAAATGGCAAGAAAAATTGATTACAAAGGGAGAAACCCAGTTCATCTAATGTGGGAATCATTTTCTGATTATACTGTTTTTGTCTAAACTGACAATATAGGGCCTTAGGCAACAGGCACAACAATTATTTTATCTGTGAAGTCTGACTGTCTTGCAATTCCCTCCAGCCTGAAAATCTAGTGGTCTCTAGAGCCTTTTAAAAATTAAATGGCCAGGAGGGTTTGAAAAGGCCTTCAAAGGCACAGCAAGCACTTACCTGAACATCTGAAAAATGTAGGATTTAAGAGTAATACCAATTTTTCCATATTTGCAGAGGCTGTTTGAGTACATTATCTAGCAGTAAACAGATGTGCACTCTGAATTTCTGTCTGAAGAACGTACAGAAGACTACACAGCATAGAGAACATTAATGAAACCAGCACAGAGACTTGAATGCTGACTCCTGTCCTGGTGGGGAGGTGGTCTTTGCAATGCTGTCACACAGAAGAGAGATGCAGCTCTGACTGGCTCCCTGCAAATCCCTCAATCTGTGAATGTCTGTTTGGACTGGCAAGGCTGCACTGGGTCCACTGGGCATGACATGACTGAGCTGACCTAACGAAGGACACCGCTGTCCTCAGAGATCAACTGCCAGGATCCCAGACAGCCTAAGGCTAATAAGCCATGAACACAGACTGGGAAGATTTTTTAGAGCTGTTCTGGGAGTTGCTTACTTCTTTGTTCCCAGTTATTTCATGCATGCCCCTCATCATCCTTTCTCCACCCCTTCCATCTCCAGCAATGATTGTCTTCAGCCCCTTGGGTTAAATAAATTTCTAGCTCAGGGGGAGAGGGCAGAAGGGTCACATTCAGCATGTAGTTTACACCTCTACAAAAATTTTTGCTTTAGGATGACTACAACATGCTCATGGCCTGGATTAACTGGTTACTCTGTGTGCAGAAAGCTAATGCACATGCCCAAAACTTCTACAGGGGCAGGACAGCAAGGTGGTGTGGACTTTGCCCATCACCTAACTCATGGGGTCTTTCACTGGGGCATCTAGAAGCTCTGCAATGTCCTCCAAAGTCAGAAGCCCTTCACCACCTGGGACAAGATGAAGGTAGAAACCCTGACGCTCAGTTCAGTCAGGGTTCCCCCCACATGGGTTCCCCAGAGCTAAGGAGAGCAGGGGGTGGAGTGCAGGACCAGAGGTGAGGTGAGGTGGACACTCACATAGATGAGGTGCTCCCGATAGCGAATCAGCAGGTTCCTGAGAATTCCTGCCTCGTTCAGGTCCCCCAGGCGGATCATGTCCTCCACTCCATGGATGGAGGTGGGGTGCATGGGTTTGATGTGGCTGGCATTTTGTGGGGAAATCCAGTGCTCCTGGGAAAAGAGCAAGGCCACAGAAAGGTAAGTCAAATGAGAGACCACTTGGATGAAAGACACAAACAGCCCACCCCAAAGAGAAAGATCAAACGGAAGAGCATACACAAGAGGTCATCAACACATGTGGCACAGCTTCTATTCCTGGGGCAAGGCAGTGATGAATGTGAAAGTTTGGTAACAGAAAAAGGAAAACATCTTTTTAATGGAGTTTTATTGCAGCAACAAGAGACAGGAGACACAAGCCATCCTGGCAGGAGCCTCCTCCAGGGCAACATGGTCATCCAGCACACCAGGGGAGTTTATAACAAATAGCACATTTGTCTTCCCCTTCACAACTGCATTTTCACATCACTGGTTAACCCTCTCCCACAAAATACTGTTGAGCAAGAGAGAAGATGATTAGAAAAGGAGAAAGGGATGGACAGGGCTGGCAAAGTCATACTTTTATTGGCAGTGTTATTTAGACTCAGCAATTCTAAGGGCTTCAAAAGCCACTACAAATTGCCCACAAGGACCTTGCCAAACCAAATCTCTATTACCCTTGAAGGGAGTGAGAGCATTCACAATTACCTCAGCAAGAAAAAAAAAGAAAAGAAGCACAGAGAACCGCCTTGATATGAACCTTACTCTAAAATAGCCACCACTGCACAAAAACAGAGGAGGGAAATTGAAGGAGGACCAGTGCTTTGGCACATCAGGTATTGGTAGGAGGTCAGGAAGGACTGGATAACAACAGAGGAACCTCAGTTGTAGGTGGGTTTGCTCAAATAACTACCTAAATGTATTTGGGGGCTTCTGTTACCATTGCTCTCAAGAAGGTTCTCAATTTTGCACTTCCAGTACAGCCATGAAAACAGGGACACAACATTGTCTTGTCTTTACAAATAGAAAACTATGGCACAGTTGATTCCCAAGGACATACGGGAAGTCCATAACAAAGTTGATTATCATCGCCCTGGGACCCCTGGCCTAGCAAGGCCATCGAGCTGAAGAAGGAACATAACAAGCCCTTGTACTTACATTGCCTTCATCATCCACAACTTGGATCTGTCCAGAGTCACACAGTTTAACCACTGCTCCAATCGGGACATCGAATTCCCGTCCGGTTTTGAGGTCCATCCACACATAATCCCCCTGGAACCAAAGACAGCACAGTTACACTCAGCACTGCAGGGAGTTCAGCATCCCTTGGGATACAAGCAGTTGATGTTTTGTACCCAAGTCATTAGCACAAGCCAAATTACTTCCCTCGCAAACCACAAACCACCCCTGTTCACAGAAGCTCAGGAAAGCTGATGCTTTCCATGTGGCACTTGGGGATGCGGTTTAGTGGTGAACACGCTGCTGCTGGGTAAATGGTTGGACTCAAAGATCTTACAAGACTTTTCCAACCTCAGTGATTCCACAAATCTGTGAAATCCCGCGCAAAGTGCCAGCAGCAGAGCATGGTCCACACGGCATATGGACCTAACTCTGTGCTGTCCCACTGCCCTAACTCTCTGCTTCTCAAGCTCATGAGTGGTTGTTGGTCACAGAGTGGTTACAGAACAGTGATACAGGTAGAAAAACCCACCCAGGTAGAGGTTTTCCTCTGTGTAACGTACAAACATAGGAAATCACATTTAGGAGATGGTTCTGAGCTCTGATAAGCCTTATCTGGAGGCTTGTGGCATCTTTCTTCCTTCCTTTCAGAGAATCACTATCAGATATTCTTTGGAGGCAACTGAAAAGGGAATGACTAAAGAGGGGTTAAGAATATAAACAGAGAGGCAGATATATGTTCTTCTTCAGGAGCTCTTCCAGCTACAGCAATATGTAGGTGGGCTGCTTGTATTTAATACTTCTCAGTGGATTTTATCTGCTGTGAGCACTTTGAGTCCTGAAGCTGTGCAAAGTTTTAGCATCCATAATCCCAAAAGACTGTGTCCTTTTACACATTTGAAATGTTTTACCTCTTTCATTTCAGACCTCTGTGTTTTCATTTTGAAAGACAGCAAGCAGTTGACCCCTATGCACTCACTTTATGTCACTACTGATCCTATACACCTCTGTCAGTCCTGCTGGGCAGGCACTATCTGCTCATCAGCTCTGTGGATATTAAATTACTTAAATGCAAAAAAGCTTTTAAAGAAGCTGTTTTCTCAATACAAAAGCAAACTCTAAAATAATTTCAAACTAAAGCCCCAAGCAGGACCCATCCTAGAACAAAGCAGAATTATTTTCCACCCCTATACTCAAGGTGAAAGGGTATTAAAATGGGGAGCAATCTAGTTGTCAGATGTGTTTTCATTCATGCATCTGAGATTAATGCTGTGGACTTGCAGCCCCACCTAACACCACATTCTTGGGGACCAGCTCCACTTGTACCTATTAAGCCTGATGCAAATGTGGTATCTACCTTTTGAAGTCCTGAAAAACTGCTGGGAGAGGGAGAAGGGAAAACCAGGATGTATCACTTTGCATGTGCTCTGATATAACCCCCTTCCCGAGTATTCACTATCAACCATTTCTGTGGGCAGAGCATATTTATGGATTTGGTTTGGCCCAATAGCTGCTAAACAATGTTCATCGCTCTGCTGGGTGGTGGCAGCGGGAGACATCACCATCCAAGTCATCATTCATTAAGACTTCCAAAAGACACAAACCTGTGAGTACCACCAGGGTGTAAGGTGACACTCAGGGATCCACACATGGAGAAGCTACACACCAGGAATTCCCAACCATTTTGTGGCAGACTCTACCCTTGGCAGCTGCTTGCTAGGTTTCCACTAGGATATCAACAAAGTCATCCTGCTTTCATGGAGCTCAGGATCCAGTCCTTAGCTTGGGTTTTCATTTCCTCAGAGGGTGGTGCTACAGCTCTAAGTACCTTCATCCAGCTCATAAAAATATAATATTAATACATTTTTCCAATTGACTCTTATCTTTATATCTCATAACTTAGTTAAAAAGGCAAAAAAAATATCACAACTAATGAAGGCAGCATCAGGAGCAGACACATTATAAATCAATTTATATTAATATTTATTTTTTAGCTCCTTTGATCCAAGACTCTCAAAGCATTTCAGAACGTTCAGCACTGTTATCCTCTCTGCACCACTGGGCAAATTCATCCACATGGTGGGTAACCTGATCAAGGTGTCAGCAAGAGATGAGCTGGGTTGCTCAGTTCCTGCTCAGCAGAAAACCTTTCCAACACCTTAGCAGCTCTGTAAAAATTGCTCTCGATCAAAAATCCAGGAATTGTAATGCTGTTTTTTAAAAAAATCTCTACTATTGAATAGCTGTAAAAGCAGCCTGCTTCATATGTGGTATTACCGCACAGCTGAGATAAAAGGCAGTCTGCTCTCCCCAAGGTAAATTGATACTCTGCTACCACTAAGACAACTCCTGTGCTTTGTCTGCCTAATGCACAGAGTGCTCATCCCCTCAAACTGCTCTTTTTAAACCCATTAAAGTGCAGTTCTTAATACTGGTGAAAAAAGTCTTATGGGATGGGCTAAGCTGGTAAGCTCAGGAAGGTTGAGGGAGTTATAAAAGAACATCACTTATTAAGAGTGCCAACCCATTTCCTTTTCTGACTTCAATCAATTTCATATAAACCCCATGGAAGTCAGTTACATTCCTTCTGCTGAAGTAATCACCCTCGGATCAGCCCCAAACCCAGCAGATATATTGGGGATTTCAGGGCAAATCAGGGTGATTCATGCATTTACCAGCTGTGGCTTGTAAGTTGCATAACCTGCCTCATGCCTACACTGGTGCAGTTTATTTCCCAAAATACATGACAGAGTACTGGAGAAGTGAGAACGCCACCAGACCCTTTACAGTATCAACATAGTCTGCCTCTTCCTCCTCAATGCAGCCAGCGGGTTTTAGTATCCTTCCAAACTAGAAAAATCTTCCAAATTGCTCTGGGGCAGACCATGAGCACCTCACAAACTGAGGGCAGTGACAACCAAACAGTGGTGCAAAAGGAGGAAACACCACACACAGATCCACACAATTCACAGAGAGGATCTTTAGGAGGAGCTTAAAAAAGTGAAGAGCAAGAAGGCTGCACTGCAGGGGAGCTGCAGTGCTTGGTGGGGGGGACAAAGGAGGAAGGTGAGAGAAGCTGGCGTAAGCAGTACAAGGATCCCATCAACAGCAAGACAGATTTCAAAGCAGCCTGAAAGCTTCCAGCCATGCTCAGGGCTTGGGACCCCCTATCTTACCGCTAACATGGTCGTGGGCTTCAGGACCTGGTTGACATTGCGAAGTAGTGTCCATCTGCCCTGGTCTCTCTCCTGATCTTCCACCACCTCAGGGCACGGCTGCACGAAAACGACTTTCTTCTTCTTCAACATCTCCAAAACACTGTGGTGGTATTTGTCCCTCTCCCTGCTTTCTACGTGTATTCCACCATGGATGCCTGAATACGATGGCCGGTTTGCTCTAGCCCTGTGGCGCGGCCATGCCTGCTGCTCACAGGACACCCTCTGACCTGATTCACAATATGGCTCTTGTGAAGATCTTCTCCTAGCAGGAAAATTTCCACGCACCAGCCATGGTCCTCCCTGGCCAGCAGACACGCTCACTGTATGTGACCAGCCCTGCGGGAATCTGAAAGCAAACTGTACAACTCTGCTTCTCTTCACTTAAATTCTTCCAGTCTCTCCAGCAAGGGCTGATACTCGGTCAAGAACCTGAAGGACACTGGAACCACCCGTTCAGGAAAAACAACTGCAGGATTAACAGGAAACTTCTTCATTTCCCCAGGACTCCTCTCCGTTACCTTCCTTTCTTAGTGAAATAACCGTCTGCCAGCTTGAGGACTTTCAGCACAGAACACTCTGGGATACTTATTAATCCACAAATGCAGTCAGTCCCCATGCAACACATGGCATTTAATTAACCTAATACCTTTACATACCAAATTAACCAAAGCGCAGCGGCAACTCAAAACCAGAGGCCATCTGCATTTTCTTTAAACTGATCGCCTTGAGTAGATCCATAGCAACTGAATTTTAAATAATTGAGTGGAAGGTGTTCAGCGCAGCACGGCCTCCACGCCTATAGGTGAGAGGAGAGCCTGTGCTGTGGATGAAAATGGGCTCAATACAAGGAGCACCGAGATAATGAGGTTGCACAGACTCTACAGCTGCCAGCTCCACAGACCCATTTCTGCAATCACTCCTCTACAGGGAGGACTGTTTTAGTAAGGACTAATCAGGACCACTGGCCAAACCAGAAGAGCACAAGGCATTTTACCGTCACCTCAGATTTGCTTTTTTCTATTCGATACACTTGAAATTTCTCATTTTCATCTAAGAAAGGCTTTTCTGGTCATTTGGATAATTTCAGACCACTACAGCTCAGCTCCAATTTCATCCATTAAAATTTTGAATCTAAAGCAGTGCCATTTAGAGATCTGAGCATTTATAGAGACCAGAGCAACTAGATAAAACAGTGCAGCTGCTAACACATTCTCATTTATCACTGTTTTAAAGCAAAGCTCTACTAATGCCTTGATTCCATGGGGTTTTGAATCCATTTGTCCACGAAGAACAGGGCACAGGGACATGGTTTATTGGCAGGCCTGGCAGCATAATGTTAATGGTTGGATTCGATGACCTTAGAGGTCTTTTCCAACCTTAATGATTCTGTGATTTTATATGCTTGAAGGTAAGCTGTCTAGACAAAGGAAGGCTTCATAGGTACCCTTCGTGGGACACAGTCTCTAAGGACAACAGCAGATGATGGGTACATTAAACTCAGAATGAGCCAGTTCTGCTCATCCATGAGCAGCAGTGACAACAGCGAGGTAACCCTTGCCCAAAGGGCAGGCAACGTTGAAAGCTTAAGCTGTATTACAGAGCCCTAGAACAATGAGGTGTATAACTCTATACACCTGTATAGCTGTGCAGGGAAAGTAAGAAAGAGATCATGTCTCATGGATAAGATGCCAGGTGAAGTTGAATTAGATGGATGTCCACCAAAGAAGCAAGTAAAAATGTACATGAGGCATGATAGTAATGCAGGGAGAAGGGGACAGAGAGAATGTAGCAATCCCAGGGGAGATGTCTACCTCCAGCATGACCTGAACACATGGTGCTGTAAATGACTGCAGCTCTGCTCCCCTAGAAAGTAGAAGATAG